GCGAGTTTGCCTCAGGTGTCCTTGGTCACTTCTGTCGTGCGGAGGGCATCACCCAGACGTTTACCCTGCCGGACTCCCCGCAGCAGAATGGGGTCGCTGAGCGACGCATCGGTTTGGTCATGGAGGTGGCTCGCACCTCCATGATCCACGCCGGTGCACCCCATTTTCTGTGGCCGTTCGCCGTGCGCTACGCCGCTCACCAGCTTAACCTGTGGCCGCACCCCCAGCGGCCGCAGGTTTCGCCGACCCTTCTGTGGACCGGGTCCCCTGGTGACGCGTCTGCGTTCTGCGTCTGGGGCTGCCTTGCTCACGTTCGTGCCTCTGGCACGGACAAGCTCACTGCCCGCACCCTCCCCTGCGTCTTCCTCGGTTTCCCCCTTGACGCGTCCGACTGGCACTTCTACCACCCGCCGTCTCACCGCTTCTTTCACTCTCGAGACGTCACCTTTGACGAGTCCGTCTCCTTCTACCGCCGCTTTCCCCACCGTGGTCCCCCGGTTACTCCCCCCCTTTTCCTGGTTCCTCCCTCCCTGGTGGTCCCTGCCCCTCCCCCCCCCCCGCCCCCCCGTCCGGCCCCCTCTGGTGTGTCTCACGTCACCCCCCTCCCGTCGGTCGTCCCGGTCGACGAGTCTTCTGACTCTGGTAGTCCTCCGGCGCAGTCCTCGCCGTCTGTCCCTCCCCCGGTGTCTCCTCCTCCACCGCCTCCGCAGCCGCCGTCGCCGCAGCTGCTGCAGCCGTCGTCTCCACCGCCGCCGCCGTTGCAGCCGTCGTCTCCGCCGCCGCCGCTGTCGCAGCCGTCGCTGCAGCCGCCGCCGCCGCCGCCGCTGTCGTCGCTGCCGCCGTTTGTGGACTCTGGGGGTGTCCCTTCTGGGGGTGCAGGTGTGGAGGGTTCGGGAGGTAGCCGTCGCGCAGCTTGTGGCCCTGGTGTTGGTGTTGTGTCGCCGCAGCAGCAGTCCCCGCCTGTGTCCGCCCTCCGTCTGCTCGGCCTTCCGTCTCCTGACCCTGCGCCTGTTCCTCTCCTGCCGTCTCCCCCTCTTCCCGTCTACGGCCCCGTGTTCCCTCTGCCAGACTCGTCCCCGGCTCGTCTTCCCCCTCGTTCCCCTCCTGTGTCCCCTCCTCTGTCTCCTGATCCGACGCCGCCCTCACACGTCTGGTCTCGCCGCCCCTCTCGTGCTCGTCCTGTCTCCCCTGTCCCGCGCTCTCACCCTATGTTGCTCCGTTCCCACGCGTCTCGACCTCCCCTCCTCCCGTCTCCTCCTCCGTCTTCTCTTGTCGTTGCGTCTCCTCCTCTGTCCGACTCCTTTCGTGCCGCTCGTCCTCTTGTTCCTCGGGTCCTTGCCTGTTACCGACCCGTCTGTTCCCGTGTCGAGTCTTGACGCCCTCGTCGCTGCGGTCGCTGACTTCGCCTCTACCCGCCGCCTTGACTACGCCACCGCTCTGGTCTCTGACCCTGCCTGTCCTCCGTCTGTCGGGGGTGCTCCTGCCCTCGGCAGTGACGTCCTGGAGGACCGCCAGTTTGAGCTTGCTTTCCTGTCCGAGGCTGCTCCCCATCTCTGTTCCATGCTGCTAGTCCCTGAGGGTGACCCAGACGCTTTCGACATCCCGACCCCTCGTACTTACGCTGAGGCGGTTTCGGGACCCTGGGCCTCTCAGTGGATAGCTGCCATGGAGCAGGAGATGGCATCTTGGAGATCCACCGGCACCTTCGTCGACGCAGTTCCCCCACCTGGGGTGAACGTGGTCGATGGCCGTTGGCTCTTCAAGGTGAAGCGCCCTCCTGGAGAGCCGCCTGTGTTCAAGGCGCGCTACGTGGCTAGAGGCTTCAGTCAGCGCGAGGGGGTGGACTTCTTTCAGACTTTCGCTCCTACCCCGAAGATGACTACTCTTCGGGTGCTGCTACACGTAGCGGCTCAGCGTGACTACGAGCTTCACTCTCTCGACTTCTCCACTGCCTTTCTTCAGGGCAGCCTTCACGAGCAGGTCTACCTGCGTCGCCCTCAGGGCTTTACTGGCACCTTCCCCCCTGGGACCCAGTGGCTTCTGCGGCGGCCAGTCTACGGCCTGCGCCAGGCGCCTCGTGAGTGGCACGACACTTTGCGTGCTACCCTTGCTGACCTACAGTTCTTTCCGTCCTCTGCAGACCCCTCGCTCTTCGTTCGTGCTGGCTCGACTCCGTTCTACATCCTCGTCTACGTAGACGACCTGGTCTTTGCCACTGCTGACAGGGACGCACTGGCCTCCGTGAAGGCAGAGCTGCTGAAGAGACACACCTGCACTGACCTTGGAGAGCTGCGCCGTTACCTTGGCTTGCAGATCTCCAGGGACAGAGCCGCGCACACCATCACCCTGACTCAGTCACACTTGGTGCGCCAGGTCCTTCAGAGGTTCGGCCTTCAGTTCTCCTCCGCACAGCCCACCCCTCTTCCTCTGGACCACAGACTCTCCGCTCCAGTTCCTGAGGAGTCGGTAGATCCCAGTGGTCCTTACGCTGAGCTAGTGGGTTGCCTCATGTACCTGATGACTTGCACTCGCCCAGATCTCGCATACCCTCTCAGCATCCTGGCTCGTTTCGTGGCCACAGGCAGGCACCGACCTCAGCACTGGTCTGCCGCTAAGAGGGTTTTGCGTTATCTTGCAAGTACATCGGGCATGGGGTTAGTGCTAGGCGGACGCAGGCCAGTGGTCCTTACTGGACACACAGACGCTTCTTGGGCAGACGACGCCGAGACGCTCAGGTCTTCCCAGGGCTACTGCTTTAGCCTTGGTTCAGGTGCTGTCTCGTGGAGAGCTACCCGCTCTTCGTCTGTTGCCCAGTCCAGCTGTGAGGCCGAGATCTACGCCGGTGCCATGGCGGCACAGGAGCTCCGCTGGCTGACCTTCTTGCTCACTGACTTAGGTGAGCGGCCTAGCTCTGCCCCGGTCCTGTACGCTGACAACAGGGCCATGATCCTCCTGTGTCAGGAGCCTCGACTCGAGGGCAGAGCGAAGCACATCCAGCTGCGGTACTTCCTCCTGCGTGAGCTACAGCAGCGTCGCCAGGCTCGCGTAGTACACTTAGCCTCCGGTGCCAACACAGCTGATATCTTTACGAAGGCGCTTGCGCCTAAAGATCATCAGCGGCACTGTGTACAGCTTGGTCTGGTTCCTGTAGTCTCTCACTTACTCGGGCCTTGACTCTGTACTGTCCTATATATATCTGTGTGTACACTCAGACTGGACTTGTGTCCTCTTACAGTGGTTGGACTAGTAGTGCCGCCCTGTACTAGTTCTTGCCTTGCCTGTACTCCTTCTGACTGGTCTTTTAGACCCTTGTCTCAGAGGCTGGACTAGTAGTGCCACCCTGAGCTGCTTGTCTAGAACATTCCCCTATGCAGTCCAGGGGGTGTGTCAAACATGTTTAGTTATCATGCTTGTATAGACTGTATAGGGTCATCTTCTAGAGAGTACAACAGTTAGGTATATGTTTGTGTACTCTCTCTCTCCATTCATCAATTTCACTGTTTAATACTTACCCCCCCCCCCCCCCCCCAAAAATCAACTCACGAAAACGGGTGAGCGAGGAAAGTGGCTCTGATTACCAAGTGTTATGAATGAACAAGCAGAGTAGCGCGGAAATGAATAACGAAGTGTTCACTCAATGAAATGACGATACAAGGAATGGCAAGCCAAGATATAGGAACACAAGAGCTAGTCTAACCATGCGATGGGAAGGTTCGGGAAGGAGATCGAAGGGTCTCGAAGTGACGAAGCGAGGCCTGGAGAACTCCCGAAGGTCGAACCGGAAGGTCTGGAAAAGCCGAGGCGGTTCTGTCAGAAGGTCCGGAACAGTCCCGAGGCTTCAGGTGTGTTCGAGCGTACGCGATAGCAGTACCGCTCGGTAAGGAATGGAAAATTCCTTACACAGAACTTGAGCATGTAACATTCCCAAAGCTGGCATACTGTATGCAGCAGGCCCTTTCAGCAGCGGACACTCCCCCGAGCGGCACGCCTCATCATACTCGCTCCCTTCCAGCGCCCTTCCACACTCTGAACCGACCTGGAGGATGACTGGACTGACAGCTCTTCCTTTTTCGTTAGGGAACGCTGACCAGTGCGATTCACGAAAATGGAAGCGGTTGAAAAATCCCACCAGACGGAAACAGTCAGTTGCCACGAGTCTCCGTGGGGAAAATTGGAAGGGGAACAGAACCGCCCTGCACTGAGTCACTTCACTAAGTAAAACACAAGCTTCAGCAGTACCCAGTTGAACGGAGATAAATTTTGCTTCTGTACCCCAGTTTCGCAAGGCTAGGGCCCCGTCGAGGGTGACCCGAGTTTTGGATAATCCCAAGGGGTGATTCTTCTCCTCCACAAAACCTATCACCTAGGGTGACACTGACAAGACAAACAAACTGCGTCGGGCCTTGTTGCTCGGCTTGTTGTCGTCAGCAAACTCCTAGGAAAGCTCGTTTCTGCCTGCAGCAAGTCCTCCTGACCCGAGCCGACAGGGATCATCTTGCAGTGCAGTGAGCTGTTCAGCTGTGGTGATTCTGCTCCCAGCACAGTGCTCACGTACACCTGATGCCTTTTTTATTTTTAGATTTATTTTAAGCGAGCGCTCTTGTGTCGGACACAAACAACTCTCCTCACAGCTGGGCTTGTACAAAGGACCAGGGTTACCACCTTGGCAGCGATGCTGTAAAAAGGGTGGTCTGCGCGGTTGTTTGTGTGAATATCGGTAACAGCATCCACTGGGGCAGCAAAAATTCCGGGCGTTATTTCTTTGACCACATTGCACGTTTCTCCGAGGAGCAATCTTCACCTGAGATTGCGCCTGATTCTGAGGCCTGTACACCTCAGGCCGTTGCCCGTAGAACCTGTCCAGTGGAACTAAAAATAGCCCGAAGGCCCCAGATGGATGGGCGTTTGGCTGAGCATCATGTGTATTGTTTCTTCAGTGCAGCGCCTCTCCTCACCTCGCCTCACTCCCTGAACAAGCAATACTGTACAGCACAGGATCACTCTCCTAGCCGGTCAGTCAGCTCGTGCCAGTCATTTCAGCGAGCCAGGTTCTCGATAGAATACGGTAACCATGTTTTTCTCCATTGCCATAGCTACTTGTCACCAGATGCTACTATCTACCTTTAGCTAGCAGCGAAGGTCAGCTGTTCTCGCGAGCGATGTTTATTGAGAGCTCCGCGCTTCGTCCTGACGCATCCCCAGTTTCAATGCCACTAGCAACGAGGAAGTCTAGCCAGCCCTCTGTCACATAACTCCTAACATATGAGCTCGAGGCAATGCCTCTGGCTGTGACTTATCAGGCTCCCCCTCCCATCCTCAGAAAACACTCTCCTACCACTTCCACGCCACAACCACTAGTAGGGTCCGTCGGAAGCGGAAAACCCGGCGGAAATGGCGGCGGAAATGTCGGTGGAAAACCCGGGAATTCCGGACAAGGTCTCACCGTGTTCGGGTTAGTTCAGCAGGCTCAGTTCGTACAGTTCGTGCTTGACCCGTGGACGGCTCGAATACGCTGCGCTAGCGAGGGCGCATGCGACGCTTTAGGTTACGCTCCCGAGGAACTAGAGGCCTTGACGTTATGCAGTTTAGTTGACGGCTTGCCGTTAGCGGAATGGCTGCAGCTGGTTGCGCCGCTCGCGACCGGCGAGCAACGCGGAGCGAAGTTCGCCGCGGGTCTGAGACCCGGCGGGAGCGGAGCAGGCGGAAACGGCAGAAGCGCGGGGGAAGACGCGGGGGGAAACGGGAATGAGCGGTTGGCTGGGGGAGACGACGTTCGACGGTCCAGCAGCCGAAGCAGCGGAGGAGGCTCGGAAACAGCGGGATTGCCGCTCATTAGGCGGAAGACATGGGGAGCGGGAGTTGGCGCAGGGAAAGGCGGAAGCGGCGTAGGCGCGGGAGCAGGGGGAGGGGTTTCCGCGGGTGCTGCGCAACCGGCGCTGCTGCCGAACAGCGCGTCGGAAGAGCTGCGGTCGTTTTCGTCCACGTCAGACAGCTTCTCCCGGGATACGTTCCCTCAGAATCAGATATTTTCGGACGATGACGACGATGACGAGGACGACTATGGCGGGGATGGGGTGCCGGACGCGCAGTGGGCGGAAGACGGCGCAGCGAGGCGGAGGAGCCGGCGGAAGCACAGGGAGGGGCGGAAGCGGCACCAGCAGCACCAGCGGGAGCAGCAGCAGCAGCAGCAGTGGGACCAGCAGGGTAGGGAACAGGGACGGGAGCAAGGAAGGGAGCAAGGAAGGGAGCAAGGAAGGGAGCAAGGGAGGGAGCAAGGGAGGGAGCAAGGGAGGGAGCATCAGGGCGTAACAGCACATGTTGAGACTGGCGATATTTTCAGCGGCGCGTCTGCTGCTTCTAGGGAGCTCCTTACTTTCTCTGTTCTCCTCCAGTACTTCGAAAGTAACGGCGAACGGGAGCTCGTAGCCACTGCACAGGAACACCCGCAGCAGCTCGAGCAACAGGGGCAACAGGAGCAGCAGGAGCAGCAGCAGCAGCAGCAGCAGCAGCAGCAGCAGGAGCAGGAACGGACAGGGCACAAGAAAGCACGACAGCAGTCGCAGGGGGGGAATGGCGACGATATTGACGTTGACGTTGACGTTGACGTTGACGGGAACGAGAGCTTATCCCCATATCCCAAGTCCTTTTCCCTCACGACGCAGCCCCAGACCGGTACTGGCGGGCCGGGCGCCGCGCGGTGCATTTTAGTAGGCTCCGTAAACCACGGAAGCGGCTCGGAGAAGCAGGACGGGAGCGTCCGGGTCGGGCAGGGCGCAGGGGCGGGGATGGGGGGGATTTGCGGAAGCGGGGATGGTGGCGCAGGCGGAAACGGGGGGGACTACAGGGCGGGCAGTGGGGGGGATTACAAGGCGGAGGGTAATAGAGTGGGCTCGGCGCTTCGGCGGGAGAACAGCTTAGGTGCAGGGCTACGGCGCGAGAGTAGCATGGGTTCGGGCCGCTTACCCCCGCTCCCTTTCGCGGCGGGTGGGGAAGGGAATGCACCATCGCACTCGCACGCAGGCGCGAACGCTAACGCCAGCGCGAATACGAAGGCGAACGTGGACGCGAGCGCGAACGCGAGGGGACCTGTGCAGGTTAATCCGCAGCAGCAGGTGGCGACTAGGCCGCGATTAAGGGGGTATAATGACCTGGACCTGACGTGGGAGGAGCAGGTGACGTGGCAGCGGCAGGAGAGCCCCGGAATCGGCGGGGATCGCGAGAGAGGGGGAAAGAGCGGAATACGGGGGGGCGGCGGGGGAAGCAGGGGGAGCAGGGGGTGCGGAATTGCCCGCCAGCGCAGCTTAGACGCGAATTTCGTGCAGGAAATAGTCTCGGAAAGTAGTTCTGAGGAGAATTTTCCGCTCGGGTGGAGGGGGAGTCACGAGGGGGAGGGGATGGGGCAGGAGGGGCGGTGGGGGGGCGGCGGAACCGCGGGCGGAGGGGGAATAGTGATGAGCGGAACGGGGAGGATGGGCGCAGGGTTGAGAATGGTGGCTATGTCCCCTGAAAGGCGGTGGTGTGGGATGAGTGGGGGTGGAAGGGGGAGGGGAGGGGGGTCGTGGGGGGGAGAGAGGGGGTTTGTGGCGGAAGGAGGGGAGGATGAGGCGGAGGAGGGGGGGAGGGGACCGGGGATGAGGGAGGAAAGGAGCCACGCTGACGTTGTTGGTGGTGATGGTGGTGGCCGGGACAGGGATTTAAGGGGTGGTGGGGGTGGTGGTGGTGATGGCCCTAAGAGAGTACAGACGCTAGGAAGGCTGTCTGAGAGAAACGGGAGAAAGTCGCGATTCAAATCAGGTAAGGGGGATAGAGAGAGCGCAGGGGATGGAGGGGGGAGGAGAGGGGAGGAGGGGGGAGGAAGGGGGCGCAGGGGGGCGCAGCTCAGGGGCGGAGGAGTGGGAGGGGGACTCTAGAACTCCCTCTTTGTTGCCTCGTCTCCCACCTTTGCTTCCGATTTCCCACCTGCTCCCATTTCCCCCGCTCCCCCTCACGTCCCTCCTCCCCCCCCCACCCCCCCTTTTCTCTCTACCTCACCCCTTTTCCTCCCCCTCCCACCCGCCCCCCCTTTCCTCCCCCTCCCACCCCGCTTTTCCTCCCCCTCCCACGTCCCAAAATCCACGCGACAGAGGGCGGAGGCTTTTGAGTCGACTCAAAAGAGGGCGGAGGCTTCACCCACCCGTTCTCATTCCCCTCTCCCCCCCTCAGATCCCTCCTCCGCTCCCAACCCCCCTTTCCTCCCAACCCACGTTCCCAAACTCCGCAAAACAGAGGGTGGCGGCTTCACCCACTCATGGCTGGATGACGTGGCGGACTCCCATTGGCTCCCGGACCTGGAGTTCCGAGCGCTCCTAGACGCAGCAGGGATAGGCCTGGCGGGGCTGCGGATAGGCACTGCTGAGCTGGCGCACTGCAGTGCGGGCTTAGCGGCTATGTTTGGGCGATCGACTAATGCTCTGGAGGGGTGCTTGCTGCAGGACTTCCTAAGCCCGCCTGACGTCCGCAGCTTCCAGGTAGGTCCATTAGAATGTGCAGCAGGGATAGGCCTGGCGGGGCTGCGGGTGGGCAGTGCTGAGTTGGCTCACTGCTGTGCGTGAGGGTTTGGCTGCTATGTTAGGGTTTAGGGCGATTGGTCAAGGGACACCTGAAGGGTCACCCTTCAGAAGCGGTGCTCCCCTGAAGCACAGACACCTGACGGGTCCGTGTTGCTATTTTTGAGGCGCCTCAAAAATAGGTTCCGTGTTGCTATTTTTGAGGCGCCTCAAAAATAGGTTCCGTGTTGCTCCAGAGCCTCAGCAGCAAGGGGACTCTTGAGTCGACTCAAGATCCCCCCACTGTTCCACTCTCCCTCCCTTCCCCCCTCCCCCCTCCCTCCCCCCCCTCAACCTGCCCCATCTTCACACTTTGTCCCCTCTCTTAATCCCCTCCCCTCTCCCTCTCCCTCTCCCCACCCTACTCCTCCTCCACCTCCCCTCCCTTCCCGCCAGAGCTGGTTCTGCAGCATTTTAGCAGCCACTCTCTCAGCACACCACGCTGCACCGATCAAGGTGACTTGTAGGTCGACTAAAAGTCACCTCTCCCTCCCTCCGTCCCCCGCTCCACCTTGCTCCCCTCCTCCCCACCCCCCAGAGCTGGTTCCGCAGCATTTCAGCAGCCACTCTCTCAGCACACACGCAGCACCTATCACCAAACGCCACGTGGCACAGGCAGTCCCACTACGACCTGCCCATTGTCATGCCAGGTGCGTTGGGCTCTGTACTCTGTGCTCTGTGCCCTGTGCTGGCTCTACCATTGTGTGTGTGTGTGTGTGTGTGTGTGTGTGTGTGTGTGTGTGCGCGTGCGCGAGTGTGTAAGGCTGTGCGTCGAGGCAACATGCGGCGGTTTTGAGACGTCTCAAAACCAACCTTATATCACGTGGCAACATGCGGCGGATTCGCCTCACGTGCCACGTGGTGGCGCCTGCCCCAGCGAGCGGGTGCTCGCTTCGACCAAGCCGAAACAACCTTTTCCCCCCTCCCCCTGCCTGCTGAATCATTCCCAGGAGACAAAATACGGCGCATTCGCCTCTCCTGCCATGTGGCGCCAGCAGTGGATATTGTGACTCAACTTCCTTATGCCTGCCCCCCATTGCCCCTCGCCCCCTCCATTCCCGCCCCCACCGCCTTGTTCTTTCCAGGAGGCAGCATACGGCGCATTCGCCTCTCCTGCCACGTGGCGCCTGCCCCAGTGGGTGTGAGCGGGGTGAGCGGCGATGTCCCCCCGTCCATGTTCATGGTCGTGTTCAGTGACCTCTCTGCTGCTGTGCACGGCTCCAAGGTGAGTGGTGGGAAGGCGGGGTGCTAGCAAGGGGGGAGAGAGGGGAGAGACGCTGGAGTTCCCCTCCCTCACCCTTCCATGTCCATGTTCCTGCCTGCATTCGGTGACCCCTCTGCTGCTGTGCACGGCTGCAAGGTGTGAGTGTGCATCCCAACCCATTCCACCCCACTCCAGCCCACTCCACCTCACTCCACCTCACTCCACTTCACTCCACCGTGTCCTACACAGGAATTACGTGCAACCGGTGTTCCTTTATCCTGGAGCACCTACTAGCAGGAGTGGCCCATATGCTTCCAGAGGAAAGGTGCAGGGGGGCCATATGCTACCCTGCTCCATGGATCATGCCCCATTCCACCCCACTTCACCGCACATCACCGCATTCCAACCTCCCCCACCGTCTCCCACCCCACATCAGGAGGTGCGTGCAAAGCGGTGGGCCTTTATTCTCGAGCAACTACCAGCAGGGGTGGCCCATATGCTCCCAGAAGAAAGGCGCAGGGGGGGCAGTGGAGGAGGGGGGAGCGGTGGGGGCAGCGGAGGGGGGAGTGGTAACAGTGCTGGCAGCAGCAGGGACAGCAGGAGGGGGAGGAGCGGTAGCAGCAGCAACAGTGGTGGTAGCGGGGTGGCTAGTATCGGGGATGAGGTGGTTACTAACCCTCATATGGAGGCGATTACGGGGTATTCGAGGGAGGAGCTGAGTACGGTCGACTCGTGGTTCTCGTGCCTCTTCAGGGAACGGGCGGCAGAGGTGAGAAGGGAATCAGGGTGGGAAAGAGATTGAGGGTACAGGTGAGTGTGAGGGAGAGAGAAAGAAGTAAGAGGGAGTGAGAAAGAAGTAAGAGGGAGTGCGTACGATTGATTGACTCGTGGTTGCCCAATCCCTTCAGGTGGAAATGGAGGGTGAGGGAGAGTGAGGGAGAGTGAGGGAGTGGGCGTAGTCAGATGGCAGGGCAGGGCAGATGCTTCTTCTCTCCTCACAACCAACCACCCCTTCCCCTTTAAACCACTGTACCAATCAACCCCTCCCAGGTGCGCAAGATCCTGGAATCAGACAGGGCCATGGGCTTTAGAGAGTCGCGCACGCTGAGGATGGTGCGGAGGGATGGCGGCCCGATGGGTGCTCTTAGCAAACTCCTTCCCCTGGCCACAACTTCCCTGGCAAACAGTTTTTTGAGAATTCTAAAAATACTAACTCAGCAAACTCCTTCCCCTGGCCACAACCCCCCTAGCAAACAGTTTATGTCTGTTTCTCTTTCCAATCCCCTGAATCCCCTGAATCCCCTGAATCCCCTGAATCCCCTGAATCCCCTCCCATCAACCCCTCCCAGGTTCGCAAGATCCTAGAATCAGACAGGGCCATGGGCTTTAGAGAGTCGCGCACGCTTAGGATGGTGCGGAGCGACGGCGAGCCGCGGTGGCTGGAGGTGTCGGTGCGGGACTGTGGTCCGGGAGGGGGGGATGTGTGGGTGGTGAGCGACGTCACGGACCATCTGATCGTGAGGGAGAAGTTCCGCCTGCTCTATGAAGCGTCCTCGGTGAGTGGGCTTGGTTTCTGGATCGTTGTTTTCTTTCAGATATTTGCATGGCGGCCCTTGGTGCCTATGAGGGGTAGAGGGGCTCGTGGGTGGTCATTGATGAACCACCTCATCGAGAGGAGAGAAGTTCGCCTGCTCTATGAAGCGTCCTTGGTGAGTGGGTTTTGCTCGTTGCCGCATCGGTTTGTTCCCACCATAGCACCTGGTGACCGCCACACCTGTGGGTGGGTGTTTGGTATCGATCAGATGGTCCGTGAGGGAGAAGCTCCGCCTGCTTTATGAAGCCTCCTCGGAGGGGTGAGTGGGCTTGGTTTCTGGAGAGAAGAGGTGATTTATGAGTCGCCTGGCGGCTGGCTGCGGGTGTTTTGACGCTGTATGAAAGGACCTGTGGGTGGTGGGTGGGGAGTGACGCAATGCGCTGCGCACACAGGACGGCTACCCAGGATGGCTACACAGGACGGCTACCCAGGATGGCTACACAGGACGGCTACCCAGGATGGCTACACAGGACGGCTACCCAGGATGGCTACACAGGACGGCTACCCAGGACAGCTACCTGGTGTTTGATGACACGGGCATCACCGACTGCAACGATGCAGCCATCCACTGCCTGCCCCCAATTAGCAACAGGCTACCATCCACTGCCTGCCCCCAATTAGCAACAGGCTACCATCCACTGCTTGCCCCAGTTACCTACAGGTTACAGCCCTTCCCCTACCCCCCTTTCCCCTCCCCACTTCCCCCCCCCTCCCCCCCTGCACCCCCCCAGGACGGCTACCTGGTGTCCGACAACACGGGCATCACCGAATGCAATGATGCGCCCATCCACTACCTGCGGTGCCGCGTCCACACTGTATCCTCCCTCTTTCCCTTGGTGACTTACGGTTCCTCCCCCACTCCCTCTCTTCCCCAACCCCCCAGGACGACTACCTGGTGTTTGATGACATGGGCATCACCGAGTGCAACGATGCAGCCATCAACTGCCTGCGGTGCAGCGACAAGAGCGAGCTCATCGTTCCTCCCTCAATGTACCTTCTCCCCTTCTCCCTGCAACAGGATGGCTGTCTTGTGTTTGACGACACGAGCATCACCGAGTGCAAAGACGCAGCAATCCACTGCCTGCCCCCTGGTTACCAACAACCACTCCCCTTTCCCCCTTCTCCCCCACTCCCCTCCCCCCCCCCCCCCTTCCCCTTCCCCCCCACCCCCCCCTTCACCCCCCAAGGACGGCTATCTTGTATTTGATGACACGGGCATCACCGAGTGCAACGACGCGGCAATCCACTGCCTGCGGTGCAGCGACAAGAGCGAGCTCATTGGGCGGCATCCCGCGTACTTTTCCCCCGAGCGGCAGCCGGACGGGCGGCGGTCGGACGAGAAGGCGGTTGAGATGGTGGCACTGGCGACTGAGAAGGGCATGCACAAGTGCGAGATGGTAGACGCGAGGGATGGTGTGCACAAGTGCGAGATGGTAGACGCGAGGGATGGTGTGCACAAGTGAGCAATGCGAGGGATGGCGTGCACAAGTGAGCAATGCGAGGGATGGCGTGCACAAGTGAGCAATGCGAGGGATGGCGTGCACAAGTGAGCAATGCGAGGGATGGCGTGCACAAGTGAGCAATGCGAGGGATGGCGTGCACAAGTGAGCAATGCGATGGATGGCGTGCACAAGTGAGCAATGCGAGGGATGGCGTGCACAAGTGAGCAACGCGAGGGATGGCGTGCACAAGTGAGCAATGCGAGGGATGGCGTGCACAAGTGAGCGATGCGAGGGATGGCGTGCACAAGTGAGCAAAGGTTTAAGAGTGAGCTGGTATAGGTATGTGAGGGGAGAAGGGAGAGAGAAGAGCATGCGTGCATGCATCAGATGGGCAGAAGGCGGTTGAGATGGTGGCGCTGGCGTGTGAGAAGAGAAGAGCATGCACGTGTGAGATGAGAGGGCATGGCGTGCTCAATTGGTCTGCTTTTGATTCGACTCAAAAGCACTGGCGGCTGAGAGGAGAGGAATGTGCACAGCACTTGTAGATGGGAGACTAGTGGGGGCAGGGTAGATGAGAGGGCATGGCGTGCTCAAGTGAGAGCATGGTAGGTGAGGGGGGATGGCTTATCTTATCATGTCCCCCCTTCCATATCACCTCCCTCTCTATTCCCTATGCCCCCAACCAGACAAGCAGTTTTGAGTGGATGGTGATGGTGGTGGTGTGGCATGGTGGATGGTGGTGGTGTGGCCCCCAACTCGAGCACAACTGCCCCATGCACATGGTGGTGTGGCACGACCTGTCAGAGATCAAGCAGCCCCTTCCCCCCCATCTCCCCAACCAGGTTTGAGTGGATCCACATGCGCAAAGACGGCTCGCTCTTCCCCGTGGAGGTCACCCTCACGTTTCTTCAACTGGAGCACAACCGCCCCATGCACATGGTGGTGTGGCACGACCTGTCAGAGATCAAGCAACAGGCGCGGGAGCTGCAGGCCGCCAAGGAGGCGGCGGAGAGAGCCAACCAGGCCAAGAGCCAGTTCCTAGCCAACATGAGCCACGAGATCCGCACCCCCATGAATGGTGAACTCTGTTAGGGGTAAAATCTGACCCATAGGAGACCCGTACACACGGTAGGGGTGATGTATGGACCTGCTATCGGTTCAGCCTGCAGTCTTTTGCTCGTCAGGGGATAATCTGTTGAGAATAGTCTCGGGCGTGCTGTGTGAGAAAGGAGAATGATGCTGGACCTCTCCAAGCTCGAGAGCAAGAACCTGGCTCTCTTAAATGCCTCCTCTCCCCCTCCCCCCCCCCCCACCTGTGAGACAAGGTGAACTTAGAAAAGTTGATTAGAGGGAAAGCACAAGGGTTTACATAGGAATGTGAGGAAAGGGAGGGTTGGTTGGGAGTTGGCCAAGATTATTGGCCCCCACCAATAATTCTGGCTGGGATTATTGGTGGTCCAATAATTCTGGTGGGAATTATTGGGGTCCCAAATAATTGTGGACCCAACCAAATTGGGAAACCAACCAAGTTGGGAACCCAATACCTCCAATTAGGGTTATTACACCCTAATTATAGTGGAGTGCATAACTCTACTCAAGACTAACACATCTATGTAGACTAGTGAACATAGTAGAATATTCTAACACCACCCTCCCCCAACCCCTCCCAGGTGTGATTGGAGTGGCGGAACTTCTCATGGGCACCGATTCGACAGCAGAGCAGCGCTCATATCTCCTGCGAATCATCCGGCGACCATCTGATCTCTTGCGCTCATATCTCCAGCGATCATCCGGTCGTCGGGGGACAACCTCCTGTGAATCATCTCAGACGTGCTGGACCTCTCCAAGATCGAGAGCAAGAACCCTCACTTCCCATCTCACATGCCTTCATTTCCTACTTCGTCCTCCTCCTTCCTCCCATGCGTTCTCTCTCCCTTCCTCCCCTCCCATCCGGCAGGTGTGATCGGGGTGGCAGAGCTCCTCTTGGGAACAGACCTCACAGCGGAGCAGCGCTCCTATCTCGAGATCATCCGCTCTTCGGGGGACAATCTCCTGCGGATCATCTCGGACGTGCTGGACCTCTCCAAGATCGAGAGCAAGAACCTGGCGCTGGAGAGCATCGAGTTCAACATGCACCAGCAGGTCACGGAGGCGCTGGCGCTGCTGGAAGTAGTCGCTAAGGACAAGGGCATCTACCTGGAGCTGGATATCGAAGACGAGGTGAGCGAACATCTGGAGAGTTACTGTGAACTGAGCCGGGCTGGGTACTCAGCAGCAGCGGGGCATAGAGAGCAAGAACCCGCCTCTGGAGAGCATTGAGTTCAGCATGCACCAGCAGGTCACAGAAGCGCTGGCGCTGCTGGAAGTAGTCGCTAAGGACAAGGGCATCTCCCTGACGCTGGATATCGAAGACGAGGTGAGCAGCGCAGAGCAGAGCAGAGTGGCACTGTGAGATGATAACACTGCATGTGCAGGGCACAGATCCCATGGTTCTTCTAGAGGTGGTGGCTCAGGATGAGGGCTTCTATTCGGAGGTGGGCATTAATGACGAGGTGAGCTGATGGAAAAATAGATCTTGCAGGGTGTTTTCGAAAATAGAGCTGAGAATTCTCAAAAATAGATTGAATGCAAGTACCTGGCACTGGTCTGGATGGAGTGGAGAGCAAGGGAAGACAAGGGAATGATTCTTGCGTTGTGTGTCAAAAAGGAGGCGAGAGGGATGTAGAAGAAGATGTGAGAAGCAGTGATTTTAGGTACGGGAGTCAACGTGCAGCCGTAGGTCACATAAGCATTGCGGCGTTGCCAGTGAGTTTTTAAAATCTTATTTCTGCTCCCGTTACATCAGCCTTGCAGGTGCCGGGGGTGGTGATGGGCGACCCAGTGAGGCTGCGGCAGGTGCTGCTGAACCTCACTGCACTGAACCGTACTGTACCGCACAACCATACTGAGCACGTGTGTATTCTCTCTCGTTTCCCAGTTACTTCACCCTTGCAGGTGCCGGGGGTGGTGATGGGCGACCCAGTGAGGCTGCGGCAGGTGCTGCTGAACCTCACCGCACTGAACCGTACTGTACCGCACAACCATACTGAGCACGTGTGTATTCTCTCTCGTTTCCCAGTTACTTCACCCTTGCAGGTGCCGGGGGTGGTGATGGGCGACCCAGTGAGGCTGCGGCAGGTGCTGCTGAACCTCACCGCACTGAACCGTACTGTACCGCACAACCATACTGAGCACGTGTGTATTCTCTCTCGTTTCCCCGTTACTTCACCCTTGCAGGTGCCGGGGGTGGTGATGGGCGACCCAGTGAGGCTGCGGCAGGTGCTGCTGAACCTCATCTCCAACTCCATCAAGTTCACAGAGACGTGAGTGCTAACATGATGAATGCTTGAGCCTTGAGGTCCGGAGACTAGTGAAGTGGGTGGTGGTGTGGTCCAGTCCAGGGCGAACAGCATTCACATGGGTGAGGCGGCGGCAGGGGCTGCTCAACCTCATCTCCAACTCCATCAAGTTCACAGAGACGTGAGATGGCAGGGATCAATGGCAAGCGCTGTCCCCCTCGCCCCTTGCCTCCCCCTCACTCCTCCCAGTGGCGGCATCACAGTGACGCTCCGTCTGGCCACCCAGGCAGAGATGCGGGAGGAAGAGATTTTGAATGCACTCACAGTCTCTGCTCTTCCCCTGACCACCTTTCTCTCATCTGTTCTCCCTCCTTCCTCCTCCCAGTGGCGGCATCACAATGACGCTGTGCCTGGCCATGCAGGCAGACATGGATGAGATGGAGGAGATTCAGCACACCACCCTTCCTTTCCCCCTCGCCCCTTGCCTCCCCCTCACTCCTCCCAGTGGCGGCATCACAGTGACCCTGCGGCTGGGCACAGAGGCTGAGATGGGGGAGATGGAGGAGGCACGGAGGGAGACCAAGAAGGGCTTGAGGATCAAGACGCTATCCTTCCTTTCACCCCTGTGCTCGTGCCGATACCCCTGCCTGTCCCTCCTCCCAGTGGCGGCATCACCGTGACCCTGCGGCTGGCCACGCAGGCGGAGATGGGGGAGATGGAGGAGGCACGGAGGGAGACCAAGAAGGGCTTGAGCATACAGAGAGGGGAGAGCAAGGAGAAGGGGGAAGAGGGGCAGCAGGAGCAGGCGTGCAGCAGTGGTGGTAACCAGCCGGTCCCAGTTGAGGGAGGGGGAAGGGGAGGAGGAAAGGGAGGGGGAGGTGTAAGGGTAGCAGGCTCAGGAGACAAAGGCGGTGGTTCCTCTAATGGTGTGGGGAGGGAAGGGAAAGCAGCAGTGAAATCGAGAGAAGGGGCGGAATCTGAGGCGGGGGGTGGGAAGGCGGGGGTGATGGTGGTGGTGAGGTTCGAAGTGAGGGACACGGGGGTGGGCATGGATGATTCGGCCAAGGGGCGATTATTCAAGGCGTTCTCCCAGGCGGACAATTCTACGAGCCGGAGATACGGCGGCACGGGTCTGGGGCTGGCGATTTGTAAAAGCTTGTGCTATTTGATGGGAGGGGACATTGGCATGCACAGCCAGGTGAGGGGTACACGGCACAGGGGGTAGACATGGGCAAAAAAAATCGCATCGCATCGCATTTAATCGCGTTTTTGCAATGGCAATATATATATATATATAATCATCGCGCGATGCGATGATTTAATATCGCGCGATCTAATTTAAATCGCATTTTAATCGCGCTAAAAAACGAGATTTAAATGCGATATGCGATTTTTAAAAATCGCGCGCGGTGTTGCACTGAAACCCACTACGAAACCACACTAGTTATTTGCACTCTAGCTTACGGCTGCCCGTGATTCAATTTCCCGGCAGCCATGGTTTTTTTCTGGTTTTTTGGGGTGTTTTTTTAATTCTTTTTTAAAACGCGATGCGACTTAAAATCGCATCGCGTGATTTAATTAAATACCGCATGCGGTTTTAATATTCATCGCGCGCAAAACGCGATGTGCGATTCATTTGTTTCCAGAAATTAAATCGCGCGATGCGATTTAAAATCGCATCGCATTTAATTAAATCGCCCCCCAATGCGATGCGATTTAAATCACAATCGCATTTTGCCCATGTCTAACAGGGGGGGGGTGATGGTGGTGGCGAGGTTCGAAGTGAGGGACAGGGGGGTGGGCATGGACGAGTCGGCCAAGGGGAGATAATTCAAGGCGTTCTCCCAGGCGGACAACTCCACTAGCAGACGTTATGGCGGCACGGGGCTCAGGCTGGCGATTTGTAAAAGTTTGTGTTACCTCATGGGAGGGGATATCAGCATCACAGCCAGGTGAGGGGGAAGTTAGTCACACATACGGGGGGTGGGCATGGACGAGTCAGCCAAGGGGCGATAATTCAACGCTTTCTCCCAGGCGGACAACTCCACCAGCAGACGTTATGGCGGCATGGGGCATGGGCTGGCGATTTATAAAAGCTTGTGTTACCTCATGGGAGGGAATATCGGCATGCACAGCCAGGTGAGGGAGGGATATAGGAAATACAACCATGTGCATAGGCTGCATTAACCTACATGCATGCACGGGGCTGGGACTCGCCCTCTGCAAGAGCCTGTGTTACCTCATGGGGTAACACAGGCAAGACATTGGCATGCACAGCCAGGTGAGAGGGAAGTTAGTCACACATACAGGGGGTGGGCATGGACGAGTCGGCCAAGGGGCGCCTGTTCAAGGCGTTCTCCCAGGCGGACAACTCCACAAGGCGGCGATACGGCGGCATGGGGCTGAGGTGGGCTCAATCCACCGGCACTAGCCCAAGGGGAGATTATTCAAGGCGTTCTCCCAGGCGGACAACTCCACTATTAGACGTTATGGCGGCACGGGGCTGGGGCTCGCGATCTGCAAGAGCCTGTGTTAGCCGATGGGTGGACCGTGGGGGCATAGGCATGCACAGCCAGGTGTTACCTGATGGGCATAGGCATGCACAGCCAGGTGTTACCTGATGGGCATAGGCATGCACAGCCAGGTGAGGGCCACACGGCACACGGCACATGGCACAGGGTGGGGTGAGATGCGCGAATCAGAGTCAGGGTGAATCGGCCAAGAGAAATGCCGTATCCATCGCCGTTAGCTAGCCCAAGGGGCGTCTGGTCTGCTCAATGCGTGCTTTCGACCGGCTAGTTGCCGCTAGCTAGCCCAAGGGGCGCCTGCTCAATGCGTTCTCCCAGGCGGACATCTCCACGAGTCGACGATACAGCAGCACTGGGCTGGGGCTCGCGATTCGCAAGAGCCTCTGTTACCTGATGGGAGGGGATATCGGCATGCACAGCCAGGTGAGGGGTGTATGCGGCGCCATGCCATGTTGCACAGTGGTATGCACAGACAGACCCTGCACAGGTATTGATCTTCTGGACCCTTTGCTCCCTGCCCAAAACAATCCTCCCCTATACGTGCAGGTGGGAGTGGGGCCCGCTTTCTTCTACGTGCGAATGCAGCGATTCAACCCCAAAGAGCCTTAGTACTGTGCCCTGTTCTTTCCGCCCCCATACGGTTACCACCACCCGTGCAGAGGAGTACATCTTCTTCTTCTACGTGCGAATGCAGCGAGTCAACCCCAAGGAGGTTGCCAAGCCACCCAAAAGTCGGCTCTCTTGCTGCCCTTCTCCCCTGTGCCCGCCACTTCTTCCCTACACATTTCCCTCCCATGCAGGTGGGAGTGGGGTCCACCTTCTTCTTCTACGTGCGCATGCAGAGAGTCAACCCCAAGGACACCGCCAAGCCGGCAGGCGAGAGTGCTACGAGCAGCGATGCTGAGCCGCTGTGGGTGCAGTTGCAGCAAGTGCGAGTGCTCGTGGCTGAGGTACGCGGGTGTGTTTATAAGAGGTGTGATTGTGCGGGTTGCCACAGTAACAAGGCAGGAGAGAGCGCCACAACCAGCGATGCGGAGCCGCTGTGGGTGCAGCTGCAGTACGGTACGGTGCGGTACTTGGGGCTTGAAGTACGGTTTAGTGGAGAATGGGAGGCTGGCTGTCACGTCAGTCATGACTCATCTTTCCCCTCCTTTGTCCCACCATTCGCTCACTCCCATTCACTCTCACCCATTCGCTCTCACCCATTCACTCTCACCCATTCGCTCACTCCCATTCACTCTCACACTCAAACCCACCAGGACAATAAAGTGAACCAGATGGTGGCAACGCGCATGCTGCACAACCTGGGCTTGAAGTACGACGTGGTGGAGAATGGGAGGCTGGCCGTGCAGGCATGCACCGACAGGCACTACGACATCGTGCTCATGGTGGGTGGTCCTGGTCACTCATGGTAGGAAGGGCAGCAGTGCTAAGTAGTTCGCTTGAGCAAGTATAAAATCCGAGTGAACTGAGACTGCATGCATCCCCTCCTCCTCCTCCCCACATCCCCCCCCAGGATTGCTCGTTTTTTAGAATCCTAAAAAACCAGCTTACCTCGTATGGCGACCTCTTGGAGAATCACCTCCCGTTTGCAGGGTACATATTTTTGAGAATTCTCAAAAATGCCCTGCAAACACTTTAAGAATCACCTCCCGTCTCACTTTACTTAAAAGTCCCCTGTTGCATTGCATCCCCTCCTCCCCTCCCCCCCTCTCGGCACATACGGGATACGGGTCATGGAGGAGAGGGCAGCCGTCTAGGCTGCTTGCTACTGCTGGTGCTGGTGCTAATCCCTTGGGCCCAACGCCCCTCCCTCCCCCCCCAGGACTGCCACCCCTAGTCCCTTGGTGCCTGAGATGGACGGCTACGAAGCAACCCGGCACATACCGGCCATGGAGGAAGAAAGGCTAGCCACATACGCTGCCAGTGCTGTTGCTGGTGCCAGTGGTACCAGTGGTGGCTACAACAGCAACACGAGTGAAGCCAGCTCCCCTAGACGATGAACCCGCAGCCGCTGCCACCATCGAACCCAACGCCCTACCCTCCCCTCCTCCCCCTTCCCCCCTCCCCATTCCCCCTCTCCCCCCCCCCCCCCCCTTCCCTCCCCCCCCCCCAGGACTGCCACATGCCTGAGATGGACGGCTACGAAGCAACGCGGCACATACGGGTCATCGAGGAAGAAAGGCTAGCCGCATACGCTGCCAGTGCTGGTGCTGCCGGTGCTAGTGCTGGTGCTGGTGGTGCTGGTGCTGGTGCTGGTGCTGGTGCTGGTGCTGGTGCTGGTGCTGGTGCTGCTGGTGCTAGTGCTGGTGCTAGTGCTCGTACTAGTGCTGGTGTTCATCCCTTCGGTTTGGCTCCTCGCCCTTCCCTCCTTCCCTCCCCCCCCCCCCAGGACTGCCACATGCCTGAGCTGGACGGTTTCGAAGCAACGCGGCACATCAGAGCCATGGAGGCGGAAAGGCTAGCTGCATACGCTGCCAGTGCTGGTGCTGCTGGTGCTGCCGGTGCTGCTGGTGCTACCGGTGGTGGCTACTACAGCAGCACCGACGGAGACATGAGTGAAGCCAGCTCCCCCAGGCGGCGCACCCACCACCGCCGCCGCCGCCCCCACCGTACCTTTATCGTTGCGCTTACCGCATCGGCTCTTAGCGAGGATAAAGACTCGTGCATGGCTGCAGGGATGGACCACTACATGTCAAAGCCCATACGGCCGAGGGATCTAGAGAAGGCTATACGGGTGGGGATGGTGACTAAGAGGAGGAGGGATTCGACTAGTGGGGAGGTGGAGTATGGCGGGGGGTCGAAGCCGGTTTCACCGCAAAAGGGTTGTGAGGGGAGTGAAGGGTCGGTGTCTCCTTCTAAGGGGTATGATTCGGGTGAGAGATCGGTTTCTCCTTATAAGGGGAATGATTCGGGTGAGAGATCGGTTTCTCCTTATAAGGGGAATGAGGGGAGTGAAAGGGTCGTGTCCCCGCTGCGGATGAATCAGCAGGAGAAGGGGCGGGGAGAGCAGGAGAAGGGGCGGGGAGAGCAGGAGAAGGGGAGAAGACAGCTCGTGTCGCAGCAGCAGCAAGATTGGGATGAGGAGGTGCAGCAGCAGCAGCAGCAGAGGGGCCAACACAGAAGGGACGAGGGGAGAGGAAGCGGTGGGAGTGGGGGGAGGGGCCAAGGAAGGGAAGGGAGAGTAGGGAGGGGTGAAGGAAGAGGCGGAGGAGGCATGGGGCAAGTCAGTCAACTCCCTCCCCCGGTGCCAGTTATTGGTCGTGACACAGGGGGTGGGGCGAGGGGAGGAGAGAGAGGGGAAAGGACAGCAGGAGGACGGGGAGGGCTGTCCTCTAGTGGAGGCGGAGGAGGTGTGGTTTCAGGTGGAAATTCAGGGGAAAAATCAGGAGGGAAAGGGTCAAGGTATGGTGGTGGTGCTGTGGGGTTTGCCCCAAGTCCGTCCTTTGGTGCCTGGGAAGGAGTGCTAGGTGTGCAGGGGCTGACAGTTGAGGTCTTGCCCGAAGGGGAAGAGGAGAGGGAAGAGGGGGGAGAAACAATGCAAGAGGCGCGTAGAATGGCTGTGGGGTTTGGTCCTAGTCCGTCCTTTGGCGCCTGGGAAGGTGGGCGAGGGGTGCAAGGCGTGCAAGGTGTGCAGGGGCTGACAGTTGAAGCATTCACAGAGGGAGAAGAGGATGCAACGCATTTGCACCCGCAGCAGCAGCAGCAGCAGCAGCAGTACCAGTACCAGCAGTACCAGCCATACCAGCAGCAGCAGCAGCAGCAGCAGCAGAGGCAGCATAACAACCAGAGGCAGCAGCCAATACCGTCCCCTAGAAAGAGCCCCCACCACCAACAGCAACACTACCCGCCCTCTCCTCGCACCTCCCCTCACTCCTCTTCTCACTCCTCTCCTCGCACCACCCCTCACTCAAACTCGCATTCCGCCCCTCTTCCCTCTCCTAGGCGCCAACCCAACCAGCAGGCTTCCCCCTTGCCCGCTTCAAAGCAGGCTGGGGGCCAAACCTCTCGGGCAGGTTCGGGAAGATTAGGTTCGGCTGAGCTGCTGCGGTCTCCCAGGCCCGGCCGGACCACACCTGAGGGTCAGGCCTGGGGAAGGCCTAGCCCACGGGCTGGGTACGGAGGGGTGCAGAGCGGTGACGATGGGTCGAGTGCTGGGTCCCCGTCAAGTGTTCGGTCTTGGGGGAGGAATGGAGGAGAAGGGGGGTGGGGGGAGGGGCACGGAATACCGGAGAGAGTGAAAGAGGATGGCAGGGATGGGGGGGGAGAGAGGGGGAGGGTGAAGGAGAGTGAGGGGGAGAGAGAGAGGGAAAGGGAGAGGGTGAGAGAGAGGGAAAGGGAGATGGAGAGAGAGAGGGAGAGAGAGAGGGGTGAGGAATCGGATAGTGGAAGTGTGGTGGTGAAAGGGGATGGGTGGAGCACAGGGGAGAGACTGAGTGATGTGGAAGAGGGGTGCGGGGAGTCGGACGAGGGGAGGGAGTGGGGGAGAATGGGAAGGGACAGGGGCGAGCAAAGAATGCATAGGGAGAAGAGGGAAGACGAAGGGGAAGTGGAAGAGGAGGAAGAGGAGGAGGAAGAGGAGAAAGAGGAGGAAGAAGAGGAGGAGATGGCTGGAGTGCCGGAGCCAAGACGAAGCAGAACAGCAGGAGCCGGGGAGAAAGGGCTAGCAGCAGCAGGAGCAGCAGCAGCAGCAGCAGCAGCAGCAGCAGCAGCAGACAGAGATGTATGGGGGAATCCTGGGGGAGGAGGAGCGAGAGAGGGGAGTAGAGGGAGAGGGGGGGAGAGGTACGAGGAAGCGAGGGGGGGTGGTGAAGCGGAGGGGCCTAGGCGAAGTAGCACTCTAGGGAGAGTTGAGGTAACACAGGCTAGGGGTGAGAAGGGAGGGGCGGAAGGAAGGAAGAGTGAACGAATGGGAGGAAGGGACGTGTGGGGGGGGAAGGAAGGGTGGGAGGGGGAGGAAAGGGAGAAGATGGATGGTAGGGGCAGGAGAAGAAGCAGCCTGGATGGGAGAGAGAATAGTTGGGAAGCTGTCACTAGTCAAGATGGGAGAAGGCCGACAGCTGCTGCTGCCGGGGAAAAGCATGTCGGGGGTACGTTGAAGCAGGATGGGAGAGATGGGCAAACGAATGATAGGGCTCAGGAGGAGGTGGCCCGAGGATTCAAGGGTACGTTGAAGCAGGATGGGAGAGATGGGCGAAAGCATGATCTGGCTCAGGAAGAGACTGGACGAGGCTACAAAGGTTCCTCCAGTCTCGTCCAGAGGCACGACGGGGCTTCAAGGGGTGAAGGAAGCACCAGCCAACACGCCCTTGAAGCCTTGGCAACTTCCAGGAAGGCCTCGTGGGATTCTCAGGACAGCTGGGGAGCGGGGGGCGGAGGGGGGAGTGCGAGGGGAGGAGGGTCGGAGGGAGAAGATGAGAGGATGTTGCGAGAATTTGCAGTTGCGGCGCTGACTAGCAAAGGGAGGGGCATGGGAGGGGCGTCCAAAGGCATGGGGGGGAATGCGAGTGCGAGTGTTAGTCCCACGCTTCCCAAGCTCTTGTCTCCTGCGCCAGCAGCTGGTGCTGCTTGTGCAGGTAGCGCTGGCACCCGTGCTGGTGGTGGTGCTGCTGGTGCTGCTGGTGCTGGCTCCCGAATCTCAGCCCCCTCTATAGAGGAAATCTGGACGCAAATCAAATCTCCAACAGCAGCAGCAGGAACAGGAACAGCAGCAGCAGCAGCAGCAGTAGGAGGAACAGGAGCAGCAGCAGCAGCAGCAGCTGTTGGAGAAGGTAGTGGAAGGAGAGGAGAAGGTTCCGGGGTGTTTGAGGCGCCTCAAGTTGCAAGGGTGACTCAAAGTAGAGGACCCATTGCAGGGGCAGGGGGAGGAAGGGCGGCGAGGGGAGGGGAGGGGGCGGGCAGAGGGGTAGTAGGAGGCGTTGGGGGAAGAGGAACAGCAGGAGGGGGTAGGGGCCCCCCGTCAGGGGGAAGGGGACCAGGGGGAGGGGGAGCCGGGGGGAGGGGTCCAGGGATAGGGGGACCAGGGGGAAGGGGAAGAGGGGTGATGGGGGCTGGGGTAGGGGGGGCTGGTCTGTTTGGAAGGGGCGGGGGGATGTTGGGGGAGGGGATGGGCAAGGGGGAGGAGGCGGGGGGGACTATGGGGAGGAGGGGGAGGAGGCAGAGATACTGTAGCAGGAGGGGCGACACCTCCACACAGTAGATCTGCATCCGACGGCTCTGAACAAGAGTTGCGTAATCAAGGGCCAGGATCGACCGGGCCTCAGAACCGACGGCTGGGAATGGGCAAATCGTCGATCAGAATCCCACCAAGGCCCACAGGGGGATTTGAAAGTGGAGGAGCTGGAGGGGCAGGAGGGGGAGGAGGGGGCGGAGGCGCAGGCAGGAGTCCTTGCTTCAGCCCTAAACCACCTTTGGCTGCCACCACCGCCGGTGGTGGTAGCAGTGCTGGCAACAGTGCTGGCAGTGGCACCACTGCAAGCAGTGCCTCCAGAACGGGTGCTAGCGGTGCTGGTGTGAGTGCCGTTGCCACCAGTAGTGGACGTGGCAGCAGGGGAAGGGGCTTAGAAGTGGATGGATCGGGCCATGGAGAACGCGCAAAAGGTGGCGAGGGGAGTGAGGGGAGTGGAGGTAGAGGTGGGGGAAGGGAAGGGGGAGGGGAAGCAGGGAGGGGAGGAGAGAGGGAAGGAGGGAGGGGAGGAGAGAGGGAAGGAGGGAGGGGAGGAGAGAGGGAAGGAGGGAGGGGAGGAGGGAGAGGCGGAGCGAGTGGAGGGGCAGAAGGGAAAGGGCAAGGAGAATACGGTGCAGAGCGGTGGAAAGGGGACAGGAGGGAGGTGGGAAGAGCAGGGGAGGGGCCCCGGCCGCTGGTGCGCAGCACAAGCATGGAGCCGCCGGTGCAGCAGAGACGCACGGGGTCAGAGCAGAAGGCGGCGCAGGACCTAAGGATGTGGATCGAGCGCGCGCACAACCCGCAAGTGGACAAGTGGATCTCCCAGGTGAGGCAATAGGATTGCTGCTATGCATTTCGTGGCTTTGGAAAAACGCATCTGCTTTTTGTGTTACTGCATTAGGGCAGGACAGAAAAAACGCTTTAGACCCCTCTTGTGGAGAAAAAACGCTTCAGACCCCTCTTGTGGAGAAAAACGCTTCAGACCCCTCTTGTGGAGAAAAACGCTTCAGATCCCTCTTGTGGAGAAAAACGCTTCAGACCCCTCTTGTGGAGAAGCAGGTGAAGGTGGCAGAGGGGGCAAAACATTAAACTCTAAAAACCCGAAACCTTAATTACTCAGTCTGCATCGATCCTGCTCCTGCTTTCTTCCCCTTTCCCCAATTGTTTACTCTGCATCTTCACCTGCATTTCCCTCCTTCCCCCCTCCTCCCCCCCCCCCTTTCCCCTCCCTTCCCCTTCCCTTCCCCTTTCCCTTCCCCTTCCCCTTCCCCTTTCCCTTCCCAACATTCTCCAGGTTGAAGCCAACTGCACACCGCCCAGGAATGCAGCTCACAAGAAGACAAGGAGTGAGGTGCCGGCCTTCTTGCCGCCCCTCACCTCCAGCCCGGGCGGCACGGGTTCCCTCCGCCGCATGCAGAGCTCTCCCCCCATATCCCCGGGTACTAGCCCCCACAACAGCCCAGGAAATAGCCCTGATAGCAAGAAACACAGTAGGGTAGCTAGTAGCAGGAATCACAGAGGTGGTGGTGGTGAAAGACATAGGTGGGCGAACAGGAGGGGTGACTATAATGAGGGTGAGGATGCGGATCTTCGGTTTGTTGATCAGCCGAGGAGCAAGTCGGATGGCAGTTCTTCCATGAGAGCAGCGCGCGAGGCGGAGAGGATGAGGGACATGGACAGGAACAGCGGAGGACGAGGATGGGCAGCAGAAGATAATTATGCATACGACTAACCCCTACTATGTACATGAGTACTTATTGAGGAGCAGTGGAGCAGAGGTCAGCTTTTTTGTCTATATATATCATTACCCAATAAGAGAGGTCATTTTGTACAGAATCATACCAGGCTGTGATGAAAACTAGATATTACGCGCATAACTGTTGCACAAATTGCGCAAGCATTTCCAGTATGGTTTTGTTTCGCGACTGGGAATTCGCGATTGGCTCGCGAGAGCTTGTGGTAGCCAGTAGTCCAAGCTGCTTCGCTGGACCACTGACATCACTCCCAGCTCCCATCTTTTCGCCGCAGCCACCAAACCCCAGCCAAGCGGATAACGCTTCCATCCGACCACAGCATATACGATGCCACGTGGCACGAGGTACCCACACGAAAGCCGTCCGTCTCATTTCCACCTGGCACATCAACGGTGAGATCTGGGCCAGTGACCTCGCAGGCATCACAGATACCAAACCCCTCCACCGTTCCGCCACTCCCTCGAGATTTCCTTTTTCCCGCATCCACCCGCCATTTCTCCCTCCCGCAGCTCTACGGAATCTCCGCCCACTGCTCTGCGGAACCTCCGCCCCTTTGTTCCCCGCGCCTGCGCGGTATTCCCTACAGTTCTCTGCTCTGCTCCTCGAGGCTGGAACCACCTCCCTCCTAGGGGTTCTGATTTCTCCTCTCTATCTGTCTCTGGCTCAGTTCTGCTCTAAGAAAGCAGTTTCCAGCCTCGCACGTAGTTGCTCCACCCCTTGTCTTGTGAATCTTTTCTCAAGACGCCATGGCTGCCGCTATGTCCTGGAGCACCAAGCTCGCGTGCCCTTCTTTCGAGGGTCTGTCTAGCCGTAGCCTGCCCTCCAACCGGGCTAACTCCAATGTGGAGCTTCAGGCTAAGGGCGCGGAGGGTGCTCCCCGCACCACCTGCTCGCTGAAGGCGATGCGCGATCGTATCGAATCCGTTAAGAACACCCAGAAGATCACCGATGCGATGAAGCTCGTCGCCGCTGCGAAGGTGCGCAGGGCTCAGGAGGCCGTCGTTAACGGCCGTCCCTTCTCGGAAAACCTCGTTAAGGTGCTCTACAACGTTAACGAGCAGCTCCAGAACGAGGACGTGGACATTCCTCTGACTGAGGTCCGTCCCGTCAAGAAGGTCGCCATTGTCGTCAACACCGGTGACCGCGGTCTGTGCGGTGGCTTCAACAACTACGTCCTCAAGAAGGCCGAGGCTCGCGTCGCCGAGCTGCAGAAGCTCGGCGTGGCTTACACCATCGTGTCCATCGGCAAGAAGGGTAACGCCTTCTTCAAGAGGCGTCCCCAGTACGCCGTCGACAGGTACCTCGAGGTCGGCGCTGCTCCCACCACCAAGGAGGCCCAGGCCATCGCCGACGAGATCTTCTCCCTGTTCGTGTCCGAGGAGGTCGACAAGGTCGAGCTGATCTACACCAAGTTCGTGTCTCTGATCAAGTCCGACCCGGTCATCCACACCCTTCTGCCTCTCTCCCCCGCCGGCGAGGTCTGCGACATCAACGGCACCTGCGTGGACGCTGCCGAGGACGAACTTTTCAGGCTGACGACCAAGGAGGGCAAGTTCGCCGTGGAGCGTGAGACGATCAGGACCGAGACCCCCGAGTTCACCGGCGTGCTTGGGTTCGAGCAGGAGCCTGTGCAGATTCTCGATGCTCTGCTCCCCCTTTACCTCAACAGCCAGATTCTCCGTGCCCTGCAAGAGTCCCTGGCCAGCGAGCTCGCCGCTCGTATGAACGCCATGGGCAACGCCAGCGATAACGCCAAGGAGCTGAACAGGAGCCTTAACTTGACGTACAACAGGCGGAGGCAAGCCAAGATTACTGGCGAGCTTATTGAGATTATTTCCGGTGCCAGCGTCTAAGGAAGCAGTGCAGGAGTATGCATCAGTAGAGAGCTGTCTTGAAGCGTTTATTAATATTTCAGCTCTGTGATCTCAAACAATCTGTCGACAATATTTTGTTAAGTGGTTTTCCTAATCGCTCATAGATGAGAGACCTGCATGGCCGAAATTGAGTGCTGGGAGCAAACTGCATTCTTGCCTTGTTGAAAGGGCAATGCAGTTCCTCAGATTCTTGCTGCAAACTGTGAACACTCCACATGAGTGGCAGGCAGGTCTGGTTCCCTGTAGATCAAGAAAACGTGCATTGCATTAGTATAATGGACATATAGAGGCCGCAATGGCCTCTTTATGCTTTGATCTAATCAATAAGCTCATGGTTCACTTCACTTTTCCAACAAAGAAGGCCAATTTCGTTTGAAATTTGATGGGACGCTTTTTAATCGGTACCTATACAGAATACGTGAAGGCTTTGTACGTGTTTCATTTTGTTAGACGTTTCCTTTCGCGAAGGCTCTTTTCGCTCATTCCACCTCGCCTGTACTATCCCCTCCCTCCCTGACCTCCGCTTCCCCTCGGCTTTTCTGCATGGCGGGTTGATCCACCATACACCCCGCCTTCTCCGCCGCGCACTCGTCCGCGCCGCTTGGATCCCTCACTCGCCACGTCTGCTCGTCACTCTTTTCTGCCGTTCCTTTCCTCCGTGATCCGCTATAATCACGCTCGCTCTATAACCAGCACTCACCATGCTGGCTCACATTCTTTCGCCGTCCCCCACTTTCGCTATAGTCCCCAATGGTATCGCTCTTCCGCCACTCTCCGCATCACATGCGCCCGCGCGCCCCTCAAAGCCCGCATTTTTGCTTCCGCGCATGGCGCCCGCACAAGCGTTGCGCCCAGGCTCCCCGCGGAAGCTAGCTTTCCGCCAAACCCGCGCCAGCGCAAGCGGGAAGCAGCCAGAGGGGGCAGCGGCGGGATCGGCGGAAGCCGCAGGGGCGGGCGCGGAGGCGAATAAGCTGGCGGAGGCTCCGCCGCAGCCGGGGGCGACGGGCGCGGCGGAGGCGGGCGCAAAGCCAGCCGGGGAAGCGGTAGCGGCGGAAGGGGAGGGGGGGCAGTTTCTGGGGCAGGCAACAACCGCGGGGATCTTCCTCCTGTGGGCGGGACTGATAGGCTATGGCGCGATGTTTGCGCCCAATCAGACTCCAGTACGTGGCAGCTGATGAGTGGCTGGTGTAGACACGGCAGATAGGCGTGGGGCCACGTGGCATGGGACGGGATGGTATGGAATGTATGGTATGGCATGGTATGGTATGGTATGGTATGGCATGGCATGGCATGGCGTGGCATGGCGTGGCATGGCATGGCATGGCATGAAATGCTCCGAAAAGCTGCTGTCAGTTCCGAGACCAGTACTTTCCGAAAAGCTGCTCAGCTTGAGGGCAGACGACGGGTTTGTCATGAACCAGGTGCCACGTGCCAGGTGCCAGGTCCCAGGTACCAGGTGCCAGGTACCAGGTGCCAGGTGCCAGGTCCCAGGTGCCAGGTCCCAGGTGCCAGGTGCCAGGTGCCAGGTACCAGGTGCCAGGTGCCAGGTGCCAGGTGCCAGGTGCCAGGTGCCAGGTGCCAGGTCCCAGGTGCCAGGTGCCAGGTGCCAGGTACCAGGTGCCAGGTGCCAGGTCCCAGGTCCCAGGTGCCAGGTGCCAGGTCCCAGGTCCCAGGTCCCAGGTCCCAGGTCCCAGATACCAGATACCAGGTGCCAGGTGCCAGGTACCAGGTGCCAGGTGCCAGGTGCCAGGTGCCAGGTGCCAGGTGCCAGGTGCCAGGTCCCAGGTCCCAGGTGCCAGGTGCCAGGTCCCAGGTCCCAGGTGCCAGGTGCCAGGTGCCAGGTGCCAGGTGCCAGGTGCCAGGTCCCAGGTCCCAGGTCCCAGGTCCCAGGTCCCAGATACCAGATACCAGGTGCCAGGTGCCAGGTACCAGGTGCCAGGTGCCAGGTGCCAGGTGCCAGGTGCCAGGTGCCAGGTGCCAGGTCCCAGGTGCCAGGTCCCAGGTGCCAGGTCCCAGGTCCCAGGTCCCAGGTCCCAGATACCAGATACCAGGTGCCAGGTGCCAGGTACCAGGTGCCAGGTCCCAGGTCCCAGGTGCCAGGTGCCAGGTGCCAGGTGCCAGGTCCCAGGTCCCAGGTGCCAGGTGCCAGGTCCCAGGTCCCAGGTGCCAGGTCCCAGGTCCCAGGTGCCAGGTGCCAGGTGCCAGGTGCCAGGTGCCAGGTGCCAGGTGCCAGGTCCCAGGTGCCAGGTGCCAGGTCCCAGATACCAGATACCAGGTGCCAGGTGCTCCTGTTACTGTGCACCGCCCTCACGTCCATCCTTTCTCCCTTCCCTCCTCTCAATTCCGACACCAGTACTTCCTGGAAAAGCTGCTCACCTTGAAGGCAGACAACGGGCTTCTCATGCACCAGGTGCTCATGTGGCCTCACCCCCCTCCTCCGCCTTCCCCCCCTCCTCCGCCTCCCCCCCTCTCTCTTCCTCTCAGCTCCGCGACCTGTCTTTCCTCGAGAAGCTGCTTAACTTGCGGGCGGACGACGGGTTTGTGACGAGCCGGTTACCACGCGCTCGGTCACTCCTCCTCCCTCCCCTCTATCCTGTCCGCCCTTCGCATCCTTCCCATCCCTCCCCCCCCCCCCCCCTCCTTCCCGTTCTCTTTCCCCCCTCCCCCCTCCCTCTCCTCCTTCCCGTTCTCTTCCCCCCCTCTCTTCCTCGCAGTTCCGCGACCAGTACCTCCTCGTGAAGCTTCTCAACCGGAGGGCGGACGACGGGCTCGTGATGAGCGAGGTGCTCGTGGCACTCCTCACATTCCCCCTTTTTCCCCCCCTTCTCCCCTCCTCTCGAACGGTCCGTCGTTCGAACTGGCCCTCATCCTGGGTACAAACTGGCCCTTTTCCCCTCCTCGCTCTCTCTCTCTCTCCTCCCTCTTCCACCCCCCTTTCCCCCTTCCTCGCAGTTCCGCGACCAGTACTTTCTCGAGAAGCTGCTCAACTTGAGGGCGGACGACGGGTTCGTGATGAACCAGGTGCTCGTGTCGCTGTGGAACCTCATGGGCGTGCTGCCCGGCGTGTACGCGGCTACTCTTGTCCCTGCCTCTCGCACGTGAGTGGTCGCATGGATGCGTGCCTGTGTGCATAGCCACGTGCGTGTGTGCCAGCTGATGGCAGTGATGATGGGTTTGTGATGTACCAACCAGGTGCTCGTGTCGCGCTGTGACCTCATGGGCGTGCTGCCCGGCGTGTATGCCGTGGCGCTTGTCCCTGCCTCTCGCACGTACGTACACATGATTGTAGGCCCTTAGCGAGTAGCATGTGAGCATGCGAGCATGTGAGCTGCTACAAACCAGCCAGGTGTTCTCGTTTTGAAACCTCTCAAAACGACGTTTCTACCCACCGGGTGTGCTCGTGTTGCTCTGGGATTTGATGGGCGTGCCGTCTGCCAGGTGTGTACGCTGCTACGCTGGTGCCTGCATCTTGCACATACGTACACAGCAGTGACCCCGTATGTATGGCTGCATCTCGTATTCATGCATCATCATCTGCATGTAATCTGGTACTAGTGGCACTGAACGAGGTGCTTGTGTTTGCACCGAAATCTGCCTGGGTAAAAAAAATACACTCCCTCCTCCCCTTCCCCCTCCCCCCCCCCCCCTTCCCCCACCGCACATCGCCCTTTTCTTACTCCCAGCAACTGCACCAAACGAAAGTCTCTGTTGCCATTTCTCCTCGCCTCTTTCTTCGCCGGTGCCTTCGTCGCCCTTCTGTTCTTTGCCGTCTGGGCGCCTGGAGTGACTTTTGAGTCGACTCAAAAGTCACCCCGTCTGGGCGCCTGGAGTGACTAGGAACATGTTCCTACCCCCCACTTGTGTAATGACTCAAAACTCGACTCATTACCACCGCATTTTCCTACCCCCCACCTCCCCCCCGTGCAGCAACCGCACCACCATCCCTGCGTGGCCGTTTCTCCTCGCCTCGTTCTTTGCTGGGGCCTTCGCCCTTCTGCCCTTCTTTGCGCTCTGGGCGCCTGGGGTCCCCACCGTGCCCACCCAGGAGGAGCGGGGGAAAGTGGGGCTTCGCGTGTTGGAGTCTAAGATCACCAGTGCGGTGAGTCGGTGGGGTGAATATGTGGGGTAAGGTTTTACCGTTACACTCCTCTTTGCACTCTGGGTGTCTGGAGTGCCCACGGTGCCCACCCAGGAGGAGCGTTGGAAAGTGGGGCTGCGCGTATTGGAGTCTAAGATCACCAGTGCGGTGAGTGCAAGGGGCATTGCTGCACCTAGCCTTTCTTCCCTTCTTTGCCCTCTGGGCGCCTGGATGACCCGCAATGCCCGCACATGAGGAGAGGGGGATGTGGGTCTCCAGGTATTGGAGTCCAAAATCACAAGTGCGGTGAGTCAGTAGGGTGAATTAGGGGGTTAAGGTTACTCTGTTACACTTGTCTTTGCCCTCCTCTGGGCGCCTGGACGTCGTCACTCATGGTCTTGGGAAGAGCAGCAGTGGAAAGTTCACTTGTCTTTGCCCTCCTCTGGGCGCCTGGAGTGCCCACAATGCCCGCACAGGAGGAGAGGGGGGAAGTGGGGCTGCGTGTGCTTGAGTCTCTAAGATCACCAGTGCGGTGAGTGCAAGCAACGGCCTTTCTTCCCCTTGTGTTCATCCCCCCACCCCCCCCCCCTCCCCCCCTCTCCTGGTTGTCTCCCCCCCTTCATCCCCTTCGTTCCAGCTTTTGCTGCTGGCAGCGTCTGGATTGGTGGTCAGTGCAGCGTAGTGCCGTCTGCTGATTACCAAACCGTGCTTCCCCGTGTGTCTCCCCCCTCTCCCCCCCTCCCCGTGTGTCTCCCCCCTCTCCCCCCCTCCCCGTGTGTCTCCCCCCTCTCCCCCCCTCCCCGTGTCTCTCCCCACTCTCCCCCCCTCTCCGTGTGTCTCCCCCCTCTCCCCCCCTCCCCGTTGTCTCCTCCCCCTCCCCCCCTCCCTCTTGGTTGTCTCCCCCTTCATCCCCTTCGTTCCAGTTGTTGCTGCTGGCAGCGTCTGGATTGGTGGTCAGTGCAGCAACGGCGCCGTCTTCTGATTGGCTGGAGTTCGCACAGTACCTGCAGGAGAGCCTCATGGTGGGTATAGTGCGGCGCAGAGCAGTGCAGTGCAGCGTAGTGGAGCTTAGTGCGGTGGAGAGCCTTGTAGTGTGGTGAAGGGGCCCCGTCTCCTGATTGGCCAGAGTTCGGGCAGAACCTGCAGGAGAGCCTCATGGTGGGTGCATGCATGGGTAGAGTACAGTGGAGTGCGGTTTTATGTGGTGCGGAGCTGTGTGGTGGAACTCAGTTTGGCCAATCCCTGCAGGAGAGCCTCTTGGTGAGAAGATAGACACAGAGAGGTGCAGTGCGGTGCACTGTGGCCTGCGTCTGGTGCTCTGCTTCGTTTTGAGACGTTTCAGGACAAGTTACATGACGTAGTCTGCTGATTGGCCTGAGTTCACTATGTTTCTTTTTAATTCCTCTTACTTATTGCTCTCTTCACCCCCCTCACACCCCCTCCCCCCCCCCCCCTGCTTTTGAGTCGACTCAAAAGCAGACTCATTACACGCGGCTTTGAGTCGACTCAAAAGCAGTTATTGCTCTGTTCACCCCTCTCACAAACCCCCCCCCCAAAAAAACCATCAGATATCCATGTCACATCCATGGTGGTTTCTTTCTGCTCAACACGTTCTTACCTTACCACTCATGCCAACACCTGCTCCCCCACACGCCCCTCCCATCAGATCCATCCATGTGGCATCCATCCATGGACTTAGTTCTCCCAACATGTTTCTTCCTTCCTTCCTGCTCACCCCAATACCTACTCCCCCCCTCTCGCCTTCTCCCCCCTCCCTTCCCCCCCTACGTGCATACTTCCCCCCCCATCAGATCCATCCACGTGGCATCCATCCATGGACTTTGTCCTCCCAACATGTTCCTGACTTTTACTCTACCTTCTCCCCCCACTCCTCTCCCCCCCCCCCCAAAAAATGTGACATCCATGGACTTCGTCCTCTCAACATGTTCCTGACCTTCTGCTCACCCCAATACCTGCTTCAAACCCCCCCCCCCCTCCCTCCCCTTTACACGCACGCAGACCCCCCAACCCACCCTCTCCCTCCCCCCCCCATCAGACCGTTGTTCTGCTCAACATGTACCTGCCTTTCTGCTCTACTCAGCCATATCCCCCCCTCTCCCCCCATTCCCCACTCCTCCCTTCCCACTCCCCCTTCTCCCCCCCCTTTCCCCCCTCTCCCAACTCTTCTCCCCCCCCCATCAGATCCATGTGACCTCCATGGACTTTGTCCTGCTCAACATGTTCCTGCCCTTCTGGCTCTTCAACGACATGGCATACAGAAACTGGTGCGTGCGCTTAATCGATTGGTGTGGTGTAGAGGAGCCTGTGCGTTCTACGTGGTGTTGCAGTATTAGTGCTGGTGCGTTATAACTTATAAGTGCGGGCGTGTTCTAAATCCCGATGTGTTATAAATGCCAGCTATACCAGCAACTGGCCGAGCAAGTAGCTTCCCAGAAGAACTGTACTGCTTATAAGGTCTGGTGCAAAGAATCAGGTCCATGCTCAGATGCATTCTCAGGTGCTCTATCAGGTGCATCCTCGGGTGAATTTCCAGGTGGATGAACAGGTGCAATACAGAGATTGAGAACATCCTCAATTCCCATCCTGATCATCCTCGCTATAAGCCCTGCCCTTTCCTTTATTTTACCCATCACTGTTTTCCCCCTCCCCCATCCTACCATCGCCCCTCTACAGGGCGCCTAGAGACTCATGGGGTGTTGCTCTCCCCTTCATCCCCGTTATAGGCCCTGCCCTCTACCTTGTAGTGAGGCCAGGGCTGCCCCCACCACCAGCTACACCTGCTGCAGAAGCTGAGTCTTCCAAATCCGATTAAATCACTTATCGCGGGTTTTCTAGGGTTGCGCATCCCGCAATGTTACACAAATCAGTGCCACGAACTTCATGTACCATGGTATGCAACTAAGGTTATGATGTAAGCAAAAGGTGGCTGGTTGAAAAGCAGCCTGGAACCTTCAGTCCCTGAGAAGCCTGGCTTTCACGATGACACGTGAGTGAAGGTTACAGAAACGAAGCTCTGCCCCCATACAGTCAGCCTCGACACCTTCTTGTAAACCTTGACATTGAAATCCGACGACCAGGTCGTGCGCCTAACAACCACCTTAGTGACTCCCCCCACGTTCCTTGTAAACCCCTCTAGATTAATCATAACGCGCCGATCTTCAGCCTTCTGATTCACTATAAACACCGTAACGCGGTTACCACCTGGGCTGTAGAACGCGGTCATCCCGTGCGAGCAGTCCGAACCTACCTTGAGCGGCTTGGAGCCAGGTTCGGCAAGCATGGTGAAATGCTTGAATATCCAAAACCTTTTGTTCGCTTTAGGCGTCTCCATTTTGCCTCTGTAGTCCGGAGGATAATTCGGCGGGAAGTCAACAAAAGACCAGTGCGCGCCGAGATCATACGCTTGCCAAATCACGTACGCCGAAGCCTCCATGATATTGACGGTCTCGATAACGTTACGAGCCATAAACAGGGAAACATCCCAAAAGCTCCCACTTTTACTCAAGGGTCCCGCTTCACTCACCCACACTTCTCTCCCCAGCAGCTTCGCCGTGTCGCGAATGGTGCCGAATCTTCTTTCGTACGACACCGCCGCACCCTCGCTGAAGTACCTATTCACGTACGCGTGGACGTTTATCCGCGTTAGTAGCTCGTGATTCGGTACCTGAGGCAGCTGCGCTGTCGTGCCATCCCAGCTATCCACCCCCACCAACTTCGTTACTAGTCCCTTAGCTAGTAACGCGTCCGAAGTGTACTTGATTACACGCCCCATTTCCGGTGGATTGAACGTACACCCCTCGTGGTCCGTCCCCGCATGCCAAAACCGCTCAAGCGCTTCGTTGAAAGGCTCCAGCGAATCAAAAGTAACCCCCCACCTTGTCGCGAACTCAGCCACGACTGTCGTCAGGTAATCTGCGAAAGCGCCCTCGTACTCAGGCAACAAGTTCGTATCCCCTTTCCAGGCCGCGCCTGCCACGTCCCCAGAAACAGTCATCCACCAAGGCGGGCTGTTGGAAAACGCCTCGAACACATTCGCGCCTCTCTCCTTCGCTCCCAGCAGCACATTCCGCTGCCGTTCGTCCGCGCTCCAATCGTACGGCCCGTCCTCAGTCGGCTTGAAACCCGGCATCCCCCGCCAATCGGATTCCGAATTCTTGTAAAATTGCGGGCTCTGTTTCTTGTGATGGCCCCCTCCGATGTTGTAACGCACGATGTTGAGACCAAGGCCGTTGATTGGCTCGAAGAGAAGGTCGAGAATCGTGCTCAGCTCCTGCTTCGGCAAGCCGCCGACGTAGTTCGCAAACCAGGCGAGAGAAGTCCCCCACCCTCGCCACGTTGTGCCGACGAACTCTGGCGAAACTGTGACATTAATCGTACCTGCAGGCTCGCAATAAAAAAACAATGGGATCCATTTGTTTCGTGATTGGCGGATCCAAACGAGCGTCAAGCCAGCAACGGAACTTGAAACTTGCAGGTATTGGAAACCAATGACTGGTAACTAAGAACGTGCATGTTTTAGTACCTCAAAACTTGCAGGTAGCAACGTACCTTTGAACTTGCAGGTGGATAGCTGTTCCAACGAGGGCAATAAATCCGGGGGCGGGGCCCGCCTGCTGCCACCTCCGCGTGCTGCCGCCACTATAGTCGCGTGCGCGGTGATCTCGAGGAAGCCTAGCACTAGGAGGGCCGTCCTCAATGCGGCATTGAGAGTCGCGCCGCGAACCAACGAGCTCCTCGTGATCGTGGTCATATTCTAGGTCTCAGACTCTAAGCGGGGGATAGTTATTAACTCAGCCTTTGAAAGAACAACTTCACATCCGTTTATGTAAACGAGCTGCAAGGTAAGGTATGATGTACGACTCGTAGTGTCTGCTAGTGGCTTGCTCCAACTCCGAAGGAGCCTGTCGTACCATTGTCGCTGCGACCGTAGGTCGAACGAAATCCTCAATTGGACCTACCGCAAAGACCGCAGTCTCGCGCGTGTCGTACAAGGAGAGCCCGCCTCGATGGAGTCGCGTGTGGTGGGCTAAGTTTGGAACTTAGGAGTTGTATAGTAATGACACGTGCTAGGGGGCACATGTGGCTTTTAGCATCAAATGCATAAGTTTGAACGACAACCGCACTGAGCCGTAGCAAAACACACAACTGTGGGAAAAACCTCTAAAAGCTCGAAGTTACGGTCCAAACCGAACCCAAAGCACAGCGCCCTTAGCTTAGGGTCAGATCAGGCGGCCAGGGGCAGCGGGGGGCAAGGACAAGGGGCAATGCTACGGGCCAGGGTCGTGTGGCGAGGGGCTGGGTTTGCCTTGCGCCGCAAGCTCACAAGGTTGAGGAAGAGGGCGGGAGATAATATAATTGGAGGATAAGAAGGGAAAGGGGGGGAGGGGGGTGTGTTGTGACATTTTCGAACCGCGTGCGATTCGGATCTTTTTTCGACATTGTGTTTGCTGTATCGAGGGGCGCGGCGAGAAATTCCAAGATTGTGATTCCCTTTCTAGTAGGACCGATTCCCGCTTACCAGGGCTACACCTTGTGCACTACCAACCTATATTTATGGGCACGTTTTTATCCTGTAGAAACGTAAGAGCATAATGATGTGTCGCTGAATGTAGAATGCAGACTTTCAACTATGTACGCATTCTTATTAACAATTAATGTACACTTTTTTCCAAGGAATCCTAAACCTCGTCGTCCTACTCAGTCAATGGCTTCCTCCCACATTCTTGCTATGCTGAACTCCACAGTGAAACGCCCTAAGGCAACAAAGTAGAAATACGCCCTGAGTCCTGAGCTAACTAACCACTTCTCATAATCACCTGAAACGCTTTTGAGTTCAAGCGTGCAAACACAAGCAAATGTAACGAACAGGAGCAGCAAGGAACCACGATCTCCACAGCCCTACCGTAAGGACCACTCCCCATTTCCCCCGCCCCTCCGTTCTCCCCACTTCCTCTCCCATCCCCCTCCTTCTGTCCTCCCTCCCCCATCTCCCCTCCATCCAGGTGTTTATATGCAACCACACCCCCCTCTCTCAATTTCCCACCTTCCCCTGCCTCTGCCGCTGCCGCTGCGTCTCTACCCCTAAGCCCTGATCCCTCTAGACCCAGTGCCTTTACCACCTCTTCGGATTCGAGGGCAAACACGTCCCCACAGCGACACTCAGCCACAAATACACCTCTCCTATAAGTTTCCTCTCCTCCTGCTCCCCCCTTCCTACCTTCACATCTCCCCGAATTCTCCTCCTCCCTTTCCTCCCCTCCTTCCTCCCCTCCTTCCTCCCCTTCCTCCTCTTCCTCCCATGCCATGTCGTCTATGCTTACCCCATCACACGGCATCACACCAACGCCGCGTTCCCCTGCTGCTCGTGCCGCTGTTCCTGCCCCTCCCTCTGAAACTACCTCGGTTGATGCTCCTCTTCCTGCTCTCCCTCCTCCCTCTCCTCCTCTCCCTCCTCCTCCTCCTCCTCCTCCTCCTCCTCCTCCTCCTCCTCCTCCTCCTCCTCCTCCTCCTTCCCCTGCTGCTGTGGCTCCTACTGCTGCTTCTCTACCTGTGCGCTCTTGATCTTGATCTTGATCTTGCTCTTGCTCGTGCCCTTGCCTGTCCCCCTCATGTTGGCAACCATTGACATGTGTGCAACTGTTGCCATAATTTACAGGAGTGGAACTGTAGCAGTCGGCACTGTAGCTGCGGCTGTAGCTACCCTGATGCACCAGAGCCAGTGCTGCCGCCCGTTTGTCAGACTCTGCAGGAAATCATCGTTACAACAAAACAGAGAACGGGGTTTCCTGTCGAGTTACTGTCATGGGGAGGCGTCAATACTTACAGTGCGGAGGTGAGAGGAAGGCCGAGGCAGAGGTCAGAGGTTCAGCGCCCAGGAAGGCTGACCTCCTCCTGTGATATGAGTTTCGTGTTGAGTTGAGTCGACTCAAACCGAAACGTAAATCGCACAGTCAGAGGTTCAACACCCAGGAAGGCTGATCTCCTGCCTCCCAAGCTCTCTGGAAAACCCTGGTGCTCTAAAACCCGGAACCCTGAGGGCTAAAGGCGAAGGCAGGGGGGGGGGGCTACCAGTGAGTCGACTCAAAAACAGGGGAGCGGAGGGCGTGGGGGGGTGGTGTGTGTGGGGGAGTAGGCCGTCCTTGAACCTCACGATCGTATTCTTCACGAGTCAACGCGTCTCGCAGCACACTCCACTAGGGGGCCAGCAGACCTGAACCACCCGCAACCGAACACGACACCTTCCAACCGAAGGACTTCGCAACGGTTACTAAGGCGACAGGGCCCTACCGTGAAGCGCTCGCACGCGGCGTGCACGCGCAGAAACCGTTGCTCCGGTCCGGACCTCAGCCGCTCAAGAGGTGAGATAGCGCACCTTGCAACACGCGATCGTATTCGGCGCGAGTCGACCCGTCCCGCAGCACGCTCCACGCGGCGTGCACGCATTGAAACCGTCTCTGCCGCTCGTCGCGGATACGTTCGTCGTCGTGCTGACCGTTGATCCTTTCATTTTCGTCCTGATCATCCCGAAATGGTCGCTTCTGATCGTCGTGCTCGTCGTGCTCTTGTCGATGCTCCTGTTGATGCTGCTGCTGCTGCTGCTGCTGCTGCTGCTGCTTGTCTGGGTGCAGCAGCAGCGCTGCTTCTTGGAAACTACGACGGATCTCGTCCAGATTCGCGGTTCGTGGCACACAGAGCGCATCGTAGTGAGTGTCGCCCAACCCGTACGGCTTTAGAGGCGCCTCTAAAGGCCCGTACTGCTTCGCTGCTCCTATCTCTCCTCCTCTTGCTAACGCCGACGATGATGACGTCATTCCCGCATACACTACAGGAAGATTCGCTGGGGTCCTCGCCAAAAAAACGCAGTAGTTAGTGCTCTTAGACACACAGAGTACTAAGGAAACTACGAGAAACGAGAGCAATAGTCGACGCCAAATCCCGAATCCAGATGCAAGCACTCTCAAGGTTTGGGTTTAGACATCCAGAGAAGGTGACAAACCCCAAATCCCAAATCCCAAATCCCGAATCCAAAAGTTGCGGGTTTGGTTTCGAATCGGGCTGAGTTTGTTTGGGTAAATTACCCAGCCTAACCCAGCCCAAACTCAAATCCAGAAAAAATCAACCGAACCCAACCTCAACACCGAATTACCTTACTTTTTTACCCAAACCCGAATTTTCCCCCATGGCTATCCTAGTCGTTGACCAGAATAGTATGTGCTGATACTGACGGATTTCGCGATGGATGTAGGGCTTCGACTTTGCCGGCTGCCGGGTCTAACGGCTAGCCGGCTCACCATGCGGCTTGGCGCGCTTCGTTTCACGCCGTTCCCCGTACCGCCGCTAATTGCGGCGGATTTTCGCGTGATCGGTTCCAGGCGAATCTGCACGACTAGTCGTGGCATGGTTTGTGCCTCCGTCCGAGCTGGCTTTGAGAATTCTCAGAAGCCAAGTAGCAGCGCGAGGGACGCTATTGGGGTGACTTATGAGTCGACTCAAGGTTCGCCCCGCAGCATGGTTTGTGCCTCCGTGCGAGCTGGTTCTGAGAGTTCTCAGAAACCAAGTAGCGGTGCGAGGGATGCAATAAAAGAGCCTTCTTTTGAGTCTACTCAACAGCAGAGTATTCAACAACCTAGAAGCGGTGCGAGGGAAGCGATTGAAGAGTCTGCGACTAGGAGTCATAGAGGGAATGCGCGGCGGGGGGAGAGCAATGCGCAGCCGGGGAAGAACAGTGCGCCGCAGGGGGGAAGCAATGCGCGGCAGGGGGGGAGTTTTGCGGGGGAGGCGGGAGGGGATATGGCTGGCGGGGAGAAACGGCCGCTTCGGCTGGTTGTGATTGGGGGAGGGGCGGCGGGCGTGTTTGGCGCAATAAGAGCCAAGGAGATGGCTCCGTCCTTGGAAGTTCGGGTGGTGGAGAAGAGCCAACCGCTGGGGAAGGTGAGAGGCGAAAGGGGGGAGAATGGAAAGGGGGAGAAAGGGGGGAGGAGAGGTTATTTCTTGGGAGATGAGTGGGGAGGTAGGCGCGATCCGAGCCAAGGAGATGGCGCCGTGCCTGGAAGTCCGGGTGGTGGAGTGGAGAAGAGCCAACCGCTGGGGAAGGTGAGAGGGGTTCAAGGGGAAGGGGTGGGTGGGGGGAGGGGGGATGGGAGAGAAGAGAATGGGGAGGGGCGGTGGGGATGTATTGATTAGTGGTGATGTTTATATATGATAATAGATAGATGAACAACAATATATGATGAACGAACGTATATTGAGAGAAGAGTGTTACAGCATTGTTCAGTTGACTTTGACATCTGTACCTTGTCATACCATACCGTACCACACACACCCTACCCTACCCTACCATACAATGCCACGTGTCCCATGGCAGGTGCGCATATCAGGAGGGGGTCGCTGCAACGTCACAACAGGCCTCACACGGGACGCCATTGTATGTGAGCCGACTTTTGAGGCGCCTCAAAAGCTAACACGGGACGCCATTGTATGTGAGCCGACTTTTGAGGCGCCTCAAAAGCTAACACGGGACGCCATTGTATGTGAGCCTCTTGTGCCGTCCTCCACGGCATCTAAAGAGTGCTACTGTGGGTCTTCTTGTGCTACTGTATGTATCTTCGACACAGACAGACCTCCTGCTAACATGACATGTCGTGTCGTGACGACTCGTGACATTGGCACGCCGCTCCATTCCCCCTCACCTGCGTTCTCCTTCCCCTCCTCTTAACAACCAATTAAACAGGTGACAAACATAGGCGCTCACTGGAAGATCTCCAAGGATCTCCAAGGATCTCCAAGGATCTCCAAGGATCTCCAAGGATCTCCAAGGATCTCCTTCCCCTCCTCTTCCACCCCCCTCCCCAACCCCCACCCCCCCCCCTCTCCCAGCATCTCTCGTCGCACTACCCAAGGGGCCATCGCGAGCTTAAAGGTTCTTTCTTCCGCACGCACGGGCCGGCTGACACTGCAGCGTGGTTCACACAGCGAGGCGTGCCACTCAAGGTGCGTGTTGTGTGCCCGTGTGCTTGTGCGCCCGTGCGCTTGTGTGCCCGTGTGCTTGGGCGTTTGTAGGCACTGTACCATTCGCCCCCTAACCCCCTCTTCCCTTCCCTCCTGTACGGTACCGTCCTGCTGGGAGGTTCTATTGCGGGTTCACACAACGGGGCGGGGCCCCCTCTTCCTCTTCCCCCCTGCACTGTACTGCACTGTAAGGGTCCTGCTGAGAGATACTACTGCGTGGTTCACACAACGGGGCGTGCCACTCAAGGCGCGTGTTGTGTACCCGTGTGCTTGTGTTCACGTGCTAGCGCGCGCACCCCTCTGTCGGGTTTGGTTTAGAGTTGTTTCAAACCAGCCTACATTTGAGGCGCCTAAAAGATCGCCTCATGACCACCACCAGCCGTCCGGAGTCAAACTCATATCCCATGAGCAGCTTTTGAGTCGACTCAAAAGTTTTGAGGCGCCTCATATCCCATGAACAGCCTGTCTGTGGTCCACCTGACGGCCGTCTGGTTCTGTCTGCGGTCCACCTGACGGCTGTCTGGTTCTGTCTGCGGTCCACCTGACGGACGTCTGGTTCTGTCTGCGGTCCCTGAAACCACCTGCCTCTTCCCTTCCCCTCGTGCCTGTTCTCCCCGTGCCCCTTTCTCCTCCCCCTCTCCCGTCCTCCCTCCCTCCCCCCACCCCCATACTCTTTTATCACAGACAGAACCAGACGGCCGCATATTCCCCATGTCACACTCCTCTCAGTCAGTCATTGATTGCTTCCTCTCATTATCTGTAAAAATAAAAAATAAAATAAAAAGCATATTTTCCCTACTACTACCCTCCTCCCCCCCCCCCCCCCCCCCTCCCCCTCCCAAGCTCAGACGGAGCCAGACGGGCGAATGTTCCCCGTGTCAGACTCCTCCCAGTCGGTCATTGACTGCCTCCTCTCACAAGCAGACAAACTCTCAGGTGAATTCTCAGGTGACCTCCAGGTGAACCTCTGGTGAATTCTCAGGTGGACTCCCAGGCCAGGTGGAGCTTCAGGTGGAGCTTCAGGTCCGTCGCACCTCCTCTGGTGGCCTCCTCCTCCTCCTCTTCTGGAATATAGTATAGAATATGATGTAGAATATTTTCTTGCCACTTTTCTGCACCTGGCTGGCCTGTGGCTTCGGTTTCTCGCACCTCTTCACGCTAACCTAGATCCCCCAGCCCCTCCTTCAACCCCTCCCCCCCCCCCCTTCTCCACCAGTGACCATCTCCCCTGGCTGGCCTGTGGCTTCAGTCTCTCGCACCCCTTCAGGCCGGTTCCTCGTGTCCTCCTCCAAGAAAACTCCCCCGAATATCAACAATACCACCTCTTCCTCTTCCTCCTCCTCCTCCACTCTCTCCCTCGTGGCTGACTTTGTTCTTATCGCCACCGGTGGGTCAATCAAGGTATTAGACCTTCACATTAGGAGAACTTCCGAGCTGAATCCATCTTGTCTATTGATTGCAGAATGTCATTTTGTTTTTATCTCAACAGAACTCTTCTTTCGTCACGCTACTTCAGTCCCCTCCACACACCCCACCCCACCCCTCCCCACCCCTCCCCACCCCTCCCCACCCCTCCCCACGTTTCTCCAGGTCTTACCATGGCCTCAACAACAGGCCAATCCATCATCCCTCCCTGCCTGCCCCTCTCACTTCACTCTCCACAAAATGCCCTCACCCACTCTCACCAGTCGTCACCCTTCGTCACTCCCTCTCACCCCTCCCTACACCCTCAGGGTCATGCCATGGCCTCGTCTTTAGGTCACTCCATAATCCGTTTGCTCTCGTCTCCCCTCCTCATCCCCCCTCACCCTCCTCACCTCTCCTCAACCCTCCTTGTTTTCCTCTCACCCCTCGCTTCCACCACTCATCCCTCCCTCTCACCCCTCCTCACCCCTCCTCACCCCTCCTCATCCCTCCCTTCGTCCCCTCAGGGGCATGCCATGGCCTCGGCTCTAGGCCACTCCATCGTCCCTGCCTGCCCTTCTCTCTTCACATTCAACATTTCTGACGCTGCTCTTACCGCTCTAGCAGGGGTGAGTTGAGTGAATGAAGAGTGAGTGAGTGAGTGAGTGAGTGAGTGGGTGCATGGGCGATTGAATGAGCGCAAGGCTGTTGCTCTGCTCACCGCGCTCCCCTCTTTCCATCGTCCCTCCCGGCCCCTCTCTCTTCACATTCAACATTCCTGATGCTGCTCTTACTGCTCTAACAGGGGTAAGTGAGTGAGTGAGTGAGCGAGCGAGCGAGTGAGTGAGTGAGCGAGTGAGCGAGTGAGTGAGTGAGTGCGAGCAAACCCTCTTCTAATCTCTGCTGTTGGCCTACAAGGCACACCCTATAAGGCACAGGATCGTCCCTCGTTACCTCACAGCCCCTCTCTCTTCACATCCAACGTTCCTGATGCTGCCCTTACCGCACTAGCAGAGGTGAATGCTGCTGCTGATAGCTTGTTTCACTGCTGATTTGATTTGATTTGATTTGATTCACAGAGGAGTCGTCTCACAGCAGGAGACTGCCACGCCTCGCCTCAAAACACCTTCCGCCTTCCGTCTTCCATCTCACCTCTCACATTGCCGCTCCTTTCACTTTGCCTCTCTATCCCCCCCTCTCTCCCCCCCCCCTTCCCGCTTTTGAGTCGACTCATAAGTCACCTCTTCCATCTCACATCTCTCATTGCCGCTCCTTTCACTTTGCCTCTCTCTCCCCCCTCCCCCTTCCCCCCCCCTGCCCCGCTTCTTCTCCCCTACCCTGCTTTGCATGGCTTGTCTTGTGCCTCCCTGTGCTGTGCCTCTGTTCCTGGTGACTTTGGAATTCACATCTCTCTAGCAGTTATGCAGTGGAAACGCCTCTGCTTTTGAGGCGCCTCAAAAATAGACTCCCTGTGCCTCTGTTCCAGGTGTCTTTCAAAGGCGTATCTCTCTCGAGCAGTTAGGCAGTGGAAACGAGGTTGACTTTTGAGTCGACTCAAAAGTCACCTCGTTACTATGTCACACGACATCTCTCTAGCAATTGTGCATGCTGTGGAGAGGAAACTCCTCTGCTGCACTTGGAACGACACCTACCACTGGGGTTGATTTTGAGAATTCTCAAAAGCACCCTGCAAGAGCGAGCCAGTGAGTGAGTGACATGTCCCTCACTCAACTACCTGGATTGAGTCTCCTTTCCTCCCCTTGTCCTCCCCGCGTATTCCCCCCTGCCTCTTGATGTCCCGTTTCCAGGTATCTCTTGAAGACGTTTCGCTCAAGCTGGTCGTTCCCTCCCCCTCAGCCTCTTCCTCCCCCTCGCCCTACCCTACTACCACTGCTGCCACCACCACCACCACCACCACCACCACCACCACCACCACCACCACAAGCAACAGCGCTGCTGCACCTGCAACCGTCACCGCCACCAGCAAATCCAAGCCCAAGCAGCAAAAGGACAAGGAAGCTTCCTTCATGCAGCGAGGGCCCCTTCTGTTCACCCACTGGGGGGTGAGCGGCCCGGCTGTGCTAAGACTCTCCGCCTGGGCTGCAAGGAACCTGCATGCCTCTGGTTACAATGGTGAGTGTAACAGGGGAGTGACCAGTTGCCCCAGCGAGGGGCCCTCCTGTTCACGCACTGGGGAGGGGAGTGAGCGGCCCTCCTATGCTAGGACTCTCTTTTGAGTTGACTCGAAAGTCGGACTCTCCATCTGCGCCACTAGGAACCTGCATGCACCGGGCTACAATGGTCGTGAGTGGTGGCGCTCACTTGCTCTCACTAGCTGTTACTATGAGAGCAGACCCCTCCTGTTCCCCCTGTGGGGGGTGAGCGGCCGCGCTGCCTCGGCTGCAAGAAACCTGCATGTGCATACATCGGGCTACAATGGTGAGGGGTAGCGTCACTTGCTCTCACTAGCTGTTACTACGAGAGCAGACCCCTCCTGTTCACCCTTTGCGGGGTGAGCGGCCCAGCTGTGCTGAAGCCCTCTGCCTGGCCTGCAAGGAGCCTGCATGCTTCGGGTTATAATGGTGCGTGCCCCTCTCTCCTTTCTTCCCTGTTCACCCTCTCAGGAGTCAGCGACCTGGCTGCTCCAAAGCCCTCAGCCTGGTCCTAAGTTGCACTAAACGCTCAGAATCCGCAGCGTATAGCGTATAGCGTATATACGCTATACGCTATACGAGCGTATAAACGCTATACGCTCGGCTAAAATTTCGGGGGCAGCCCATCGGGAAAAAAATAAAAATCGATCGCCACATCGCGACGTGACGAAGCCAGCTGCACTATCGCGAAATGTCGAGACCCAATTTTTTTGCCCAAATCCAACTTCCAACCAATCTGCCCCCCCCAACCGCACTGCATCCCGAGGCATCTACCAAACCCAACCAAATGTCAAATGTGTTCTGTCTACCTCTACCACCGAACGCGCTAAACCTAAAACAGATTGCGTAACTTACCGGCCGAATTAGGCGGCAGACTAAGCTAGGATCTTAGCTTAGGGAGCGCCACGTCGCCTCGTTTTTTAGGCAGCGCCATGTCGACATGGATGAAACCTTGACATGGCAGTTATTTATGCCTTAATGGCTTAACTATGTTCTCTGGTTCATGCTGCTATGAAAAACTATGGCCCGCACCACATTCCCCCTTTCCCCCCTCCCTATACATGGTTTTTTTCCCTGCCCGGAGAGAAGTTTTCGCCTGCCCGGACAAGCGTATACCTAGCGTATACGTGGCCCCAAAAAAGCGTATAGCGTGTATGCGCTAGCATATCAAACGCCATACGCGTTTAGTGCAACTTAGGCCTGGTCCGCTAGGAAACAGAATGCATCTGGTGATAGCGGTGAGTGGTTAGCATGGTCTTTGAGTAGTTACCATCGGACCCCCTCTGTTCCCGCACTGGGGGGTGAGCAGCCTGCCTGTTCTAGGACTATTTGCCTGGGCTGCAAGACACCTGCGTGCCGCTGTTTACAATGGTGGGTTGCTTTTGGCGGGTTCCCTCCTGCTTCTCACTCACACGTTCCTGCTACTGCCATTCTCCTGCATGCACTCTCTCCTCTGCTGCCCATCCCTTCTCCCCTCCCCTCCCTCCCCTCCCCTCCCTCCCCTCCCCTCCCTCCCCTCCCCTCCCCCCGTCCCTCCCTCCCTCCATCCCTCCAGCAACCCTAGTAGCTGACTTCACCCCCCACCTTTCCGCAGCTGCTCTCCTCTCAGCACTCTCTACTGCCAAGTCGTCACTTCAGGTGGTTTCAATGCTTGTTAGTAATCACGTTTTGAGACCCCTAAACCCTAAACCCTAAACCCTGACTTTTGAGACGTCTCGAGTCTTCACCCGCCACCTGTCCATGGCTGCTCTCCTCTCAGCACTCTCTGGTAGTTTCGCTTCAGGTGATCTCAAATGCGTCAGGTGATTCTAATGATCAAGACCATCTAAGACCATGTAAGACCATCTCAGCCCTTTCAGATGATTTCAGCCATTTCGGGACTCACCAAAAACATCAAGTCTCCCCCCACCCCCCTTCCCCCCCTCCCTCCCCGCCCCGCCCCGCCCCCCGGACATTCCCCTCCGTTTAACTTTTTTTTTTTTCCGTCCTTTTCCTTCAACCCATGATCTCCTTTCCACTCTTTTCTCTAAAAATAACACTCATAGGTGATTTTTCAGTCGACTCAAAGATCTCATTTCCACTCTTTGCTCTATACCGCACTCATTCCCTTCGCTGCTCGCAGAAAAAACAAGTGGGAACAACTGCTCCTGTGGAGCTCAACCTTCCCAGAAGGTTCTGGTGCTACCTGCTTGATCGTGCTGTGGGTAACTTACTACTGGATGCACTTTCTCAGTGCAGTCAAGTAACTTTTCGTAGTAGTACTTAATGAACTTGCGAAATCGAGTAGCCACTTCCCCGCGTCGTTGTGTTTATCCTCAGAGTCTTGCTGCCCCGTTAGAACTTAAGGATTTTCCTTCATTTCGAATCAAACCAGTCTATATTTCTGTAAGCTGGCTTTTGAGAAACCTAAAAAACCAACTTATTTCAAATCAAACCAGTCTATATTTCTGTCTGCCCTCCTCCCTTCAACCTCCAATAGGCAATTCCTCCAGAGACCCTCTGGGCACACGTGTCAAAAGCCAATTTGCTGGCCCTTGCTGACGTCATCCACAAGGCCGAGCTGGCAGTTGCTGGGAAGGTGAGAGCGTTGAGAGGCGCCTCGTTCGTTACTTTTGTTTATTGCCATGAACTTTTGGTTCCCATCTCTTTCTCTCTTTTCCTTCTTTTTTAAATGCGTTGCCTTCCCTTCCCATCATTTGCTTTTGAGTCGACTCAAAAGCAGACTCATTATGCGTTGCCTTCCCTACCCAGGATTTTTCCTATGTCATCCTGGTTCCCTCCTTGCTGCTTCCTTCCTGGCTGCCTCCTCCACACTTCTTCCCTCCAATTACCCCCTCTGCCTTTCTCCTCTCCTCTCCTCTTCTCTCCTCTCCTCTCCTCTCCTCTCCTCTCCTCTCCTCTCTTCTCCTCTCCTCTCCTCTCCTCTTCTCTCCTCTCCTCTCCTCTCCTTTCCCCTCCCCTCCCCTCCCCTCCCCTCCCCTCCCCTCCCCTCCTCTCCTCTCCTCTCCTCTCCGCTCTCGCAGGGTCGATTCAAGGACGAATTTGTGACTGCAGGCGGTGTTCCTCTAACAGAGGTATTTTCCCCTTCCTTTTCCTTCTGCCCCTCTTCTCTCCTGCTGCAAGAGCAAAGCCTGAAGTCTCTGCTCCTCCGTCTCCCTCCTCTCCTTCTTTACCTGCTATCTCTCTGTTTCATCTAGCAACAACTCTGTTGAAATCTCCGTTTGTGATAACTTTTGGTTTAGCACAAACAAGCTTTGTGACTTTCTACTGACTCACCAGTTTCAGGTGATTATTTAGTAAACTAAAAAATGATCTACAGTCATCCTTTTTCCTTGAAAACTGCGTTTCTGTTACGCAACTCCCTTATTTGTTTCTGGGAATGATGATGTGATGTTAGTAACGTGCAGAGAAGGCATTGCTTCCTCTATTGCTCTCTCTTCTTGCCCACAAAGAAGAGGTTGCTTCCCCCTTTCCTTCCCTTCCCCCAGCTCTTCTCCCATTTCTCCCCTGTCCCTTCCCACGTTGCTTCCCCCGTCTCGTATGTGGTCTGAAGGTCAACCTGGGCACCATGGAGAGCCGTCTTATTCCCAACCTCTTCTTGGCCGGGGAGGTGAGCCACTATGCCACTCTCTCCCCTCACACCCCCCTCGCACCACTCTCCCTTCTCATGCCTCCCTCCCCTCATACCTCCCTCCCCTCACACATCTCTCCCCTCACATCTCTCTCCCCTCACACCTCCCTCCCCTCACATCTCTCTCCCCTCACATCTCTCTCCCCTCACACCTATTTCTCCTTGTCTATCTCTCCTCATACCTCTCTCTCTCCCCCCACACCTCTCATTCCCAACCTCGTCTCGCCCCCTTTCCTTTCACTCCCAACCTCTTCTTGGCTGGTAAGGTGAGTGAAGTCGCCCACTCCTCTCATCTCACCTGTCTCTATTTCTGCCTCCTTCACCATGCTACTGTCTTTGAGGCGCCTCATAGGCACCGTGATACGGGCACTAAATTGATATACTCTCATTTTTTGCCAAAAGCATTTATTTTTAGCCTGAAGCAGGTAGTTGATATACACTCTATTTTTTTTGCCCAAAAAAAAAAAAAAAAAAAAAACCTCCTACAGATTCTGGATGTGGATGGAATCACAGGAGGCTTTAACTTTCAGGTAAACTGATAGGAGTTTCTGGGCATGATGCATGTGTTTATACATGGTCGTGCCATGTGCCCATACGATACAGCATGCCACGTACATGTGTAGCATGCACCATTCCATGCACATGCATGATGCACCATGGCAGGGCACATGCATGACTGCCATGTGGAATGTGCTACCCTCGGTTCGTGTTCTGTTCCTATCCACCTTCAAGAACCGTCAGCCACCCCTGCAATGACTGACAGTAACGGTCCTTTCCCTATCCTCCTTCAAGCTGCCTCCCATATAAAATGCATGTCGGTATAATACTTCATTCCCGAGTGTGTTTTTATTTTTATTTACATTGCTATCACTCACCTCTTACAGAATGCATGGACTGGGGGCTACATTGCCGGAACTGCCATTGCAACTGCGGCCAACCAGTTTCCTGCTCATGACCCCTAACTCTGACCTTCAGAGTCTAGATTGGTTTACCCGACTCAAGTCGATGTCGATATGGTTTCCTTGACCCAGATACTGCTTCCCTGAACCTGCAGAATTCAGGCTCAACTGTTTTTGGTGCCCAAAGTCATAAAGTCACCAGTCTTTACCACTGGGACAAGAAAGGATGTCATCAAAAGGATTAGGCTCCATATATCCACCTTCCCCTGGGAAAGCCTCCCCAGTACCCTCCCAGTATGAGAGAAAGAGAGAGAGAGAGAGAGAGAGAGAGAGAGAGAGAGAGAGAGAGAGAGAGAGAGAGAGAGAGAGAGAGAGAGAGAGAGAGAGAGAGAGAGAGAGAGAGAGAGAGATAGAGAGAGAGAGAGAGAGAGAGAGAGAGAGAGAGAGAGAGAGAGAGAGAGAGAGAGAGAGAGAGAGAGAGAGAGAGAGAGAGAGAGAGAGAGAGAGAGAGAGAGAGAGAGAGAGAGAGAGAGAGAGAGAGAGAGAAGAGAGAGAGAGAGAGAGAGAGAGAGAGAGAGAGAGAGAGAGAGAGAGAGAGAGAGAGAGAGAGAGAGAGAGAGAGAGAGAGAGAGAGAGAGAGAGAGAGAGTCATGGTATATAAGGCTCCTTCTCACATCTTAGTCCTCATTATTTAGTTCCTTCTTGAGTTGATTCACGGCCCTGGAAGCGGCGCTCGCAGCGCGGCCTACGGCCGCGCAACAAGGGGGCGGGGAGCAGCAAGAGGGGCGGCAAACCCGATAACACTTCAGCTGCAACACAAAGGCATACACTCATGCCCCCGGTGGGGGGACTCGCCTAGAACCTATGGCTACGGCGCCCAAGGCGGAGACCGGCCAACCTTGGTGGCCGACTGCCCTGCTCCTACTGCTCCAGCGGCGACGGTGGGACGAGGGCACCAGCCCGACTCTCTAGCGCCCGAAGCACAGCCGCGCAAGCGGCCAAGATCGCCGGGCGCTGATTCGCCACAAGCGACCGATTCAATTCATCGACGGCGCGAGGAGCAGGATCGAGCTCCCCCGCCTCTACTCCTGGCGGCATTCCGTAAGCAAGCCGCCACAGGAGCAGCGACGCCGCCTCCATGGCGCGTCGCTGCTGGCGGCGGGACATCGCAGGCCGCCACGGACGCCCAGCCTCCGGTTTCCGCGGAGGGGGTTGCAACGGGGGGGGGGCGGAGGCAATCCAGCACCTCCGCCACAGCTCCAATACATGCGACGACCCCGGCCATCGCCTCCACCGGAGAATACGGCACTACTGCGGGCCGCGGGCGAGAGCACCCCCCGCTTCGCGACGACTCTGAGCGACGCTGCGAATGCGGGCCCGGCGCACCGCACGCCTGGCTTGGACGGCTTGGCGACGCCGCTGTCGAACGGGCGGGTGCCACTCCAGGGACCCTTCGTCTTCCGTGCTGGGGAGGCGTGCTTGACGGGACGGGCGACCCACCCTGGCCACCATGACGGAGCCGCTTTGGGGGACGCGCAGGCGAGGGCGGAGAGGCCGGAGGCCGGCCACACCCCGCTGCCCCCTCGCAAGCGCCGGCGGCTGGTGGTGCCACTTGCGGCGGCGGAGGAGGCGCAGGCCGAGGCGGGGGGGACGAGGGCGGAGGAGGAGGCGGAGGAGGAGGCAACGACGGAGCAGGCGGGAAAGGGGGTGGCGACGACACGGGTAGCGAGGGAAATAGGGGCGGAGGACCGCCAGGAGAGAGAGGCGACCGACCCGTGGGCGATGCCATACGCGCGCCCGCCGGAGGGGACCCCGGGAGCGGCGAAGGGACAGCTGCCGGCGGTTGCAGCAGGGACGGAGGCTGCAGCAGCAATATCGCCCGCGCCAGGGCGGCAACCTGCAACCCCTGCGCGCGAAGCTCGCAGCGCAGTGAAGAGGTCGGCGACAACGCCGACGGCACGCCGGAGGACGTGCCCAACGGCGACGGGGAACCATCCCCCTCCCTCTGCGGACGGCGCAAAGGGGACAGAAGCATCCCCTGCGTCATCGCCCCGCGGCGACGATACGACGACGGGACGCACCACCGCGAGCGGAAGGGGGCAGCGACGCGAGAGAACACCTGAAGCGCCAAACCAGCGCGGCAGGAGGCTAGGCCGGGGGCGAGGCGGAGGACGTAGGGGGGGCCGCAACGGACCGGTTTTGAGCGGGCGCCGCAGCTTCCGCGCGACAGCGGCGCGCCTCCAGCGGGCCGCCCAGCGGCAACTTAACGGAGCGGACGCGAAGGCTCCGACGACCACTGTAAACAGCGACAACGATGGCACCGAAGGTGGAAACTCGATCCGCAGAGGCAACGAGGAGGCAGCACAGAATGCCCAAGGGGGAGACGCAGTCACACCGACACGTGCACCTGCTACGAGGAACGCAGACGGGGGCTTCGAAAGGAGGGAGCGAGCAGACGATGATTTGATTGACGGAAATGACCCCACTTATACCCCCGAAATGGGGGTATTCGAGGAAGGCGTACCGGAGAGGGGAGATTCGGAAGTGGAAGAAACCCTACCCCGAGGCGCAGACAGGCGGGATGGCATTCGGCTGAACCGAGCCGCTTTTTCCAACACCCGGCGCGGCTCGGCAATCTCCCGCCGGCCGACGCCAGCTCGGACAGTAATGTCCCCGCTGGCACTCGCGAACAAAACCGAACTCTTCGAGTTCGTGGCCAGCTGGGACCTGGACAAGCTTCGCGACAGTCGCCTGCCACCACTGGCGCGGCGACTCCCCCGCGAAATACCGACAGCCTTCGCGTCGGCTCTTCTGACGCCGCTGCTCCACCTGGCAGCAAACCGAGACTCGGTGCCAGGATGGCGCCTGCTCATGTTTCTGCCTCGGCTAACACTGGCCACACAATCCACCAGAGCACCAGACGTCAAATGCATGTTACACCGGTTACGCCGGTTTGCGACAGGCGAGTGGCGCGAGCTCTACGAAGAGGCAGTGGCCTCATCACAGCTGCCCCCAGCCCCACGACACGCAGCCGACGTCAAAGGCAGGCTCGCCAGGGCGGAAACACTGGTGAAATGGGGTAACCTACGCAAAGCACTCCAGGCGCTGGAGTCCACCCCCGTTTGCGAACCGACAAGCGAAACGCTCGCTGCACTCAGGGCGAAACACCCCCCTGCTGAACGCGCCCTACCCGCATGGGCCCTACGTAAACAGCACCCAACCAGAGGACCCTTGGCGCAGACCGCAAGCCCACTACCGCAGATATCAGTCACGCAGCTACGGGTGGTACTTCGACACTGCCCAAACGGAGTTGGGGCGGGTCCGTCAGGCACCACGTTCGAACATCTGAGGGAAGCAGCCATGACAAACGGAGACATCATGGGCCACCTAACAGCACTCACAAACACAGTGCTCGCTGGAAACATGCCCGAGGAGGCGACATCACTCCTCACCTCCTCACGACTCCTGGCATTCAAAAAACCAGGAGGCGGCGTCCGCCCGATAGCCGTGGGCGAATGCCTACTACGCGTCGTCAACAAGGCGGCAATCACGCTCACCTCCTCGGTGGCGGCAGCCTACCTCACGCCGTTGCAGTTCGGCGTGTGCGTCCCCGGCGGCACGGAGGTTGCGATCCACACCTCCCGCACGCATCTCTAGTCGAACCCGGGGGACCTCGTCCTCCAAGTCGACATGGCAAACGCGTTCAACTCTGCGGAACGCGCAGCCATGATCGAGGCCCTGCGGAATAGGCCGCTCGCGGGGCTCCTCCCTCTTGTACTCACCACCTACGGATGCCCAGTGCCGCTGTTCCTGGACCGCGAGTTCAGCTCCCCCCCGCTACTCAGCGAGCGAGGAGTAAGGCAGGGGGACCCCTTGGGACCACTGCTATTCGCAATCACCCTACACCCTGCCCTCGTGGTCACAACAGAGGCCTACCCTCAAGTACTCACCCTGGCCTACGCCGACGATGTGACCCTCATGGGGCCACCCAAAGAATGCGAGGCAGCATTCTACCATTTCACCAACGCCATCGCAGCAGCAGGCCTGGCGTGCAACCTCGCCAAGTGCGGGGCCTGGTCCACAAGCGAGACCGCCCTCCAACACGCGCCCGAGGGGGTACCGCTCGTGACGGGGGCTCTCCGAATCCTTGGGAGCCCGGTGGGAAACCAGGCAGGTTGCGCGGCCTTCCTTCGCGAAGCGCTGGATAAAGCGGCCGCCACCCTCCCCTTGGTCAAGCAACTCCACCCACAGCTGGCACTCCTCCTTCTAACCAGGTGTGTAGGGCGCAAGGCAGCCTTCCTGCTGCGTTCCACACCCCTGGACCTCCTGCCCGACGCTGAATGGACAGCATGGGGACAGCGCCTGCTCGCCACCATCTTGGCATCCTGCGGCCTCCAGGAACCCAGGCAAGCAGCAGAGAAGGGCCTTCTATGGCGACAGGCAACCCTGCCCATAACCATAGGAGGACTCGGGCTCACGAACCCCCTCGCTGAAGGCGGGTACAGTTACCTCGCCTCAACAACGGCGGCAGCCAGCCTCCTCGCCTCCCTCCACCTCGCGCCACTCTCACCCCTGGCCCTCCTCCGCCCCCTCCTCTCTCCCCCCTACTCCACGTCACACCCCCTCCACGCCCTCCTCAGCCGCCTAGAGGCTCAACTGCCCGACCCTGCAAAACAAATCCTCAACTTGTGGCCGAGCAACGAGCCGGCCAGCAAGCTCCAACACGCCCTGGCCCTCGAGGTCCAAGGTGAGCGGCATCGCCGGCTGGTGGCCGAGACAAGGGATCTCACCCTCAACCCCCTTCTCGGCCACACGCAGCGGCTCTTGTCCCTCCTCGGCCCGGGTGCGGGTGATTGGCTGGCGGCCATCCCATTCACGCCAGACCTCAGCCTCAGCCCGGGGCACTTCGCCACCGCCCTGGCGTTTCGCATGGGACTGCAACACTCCATTCCCGGCCGATGCAACTGCAGGGGCAGAAAGGAGCTGACAGACCCCCGCCTCCCCAACCACCTCCTGCGGTGTACCTTGGGAGGGGGACCCAAGCGGACCCACGACGGCCTCGTGAACCTAGGCATGCGCCTAGCCAGGGAGGCCGGCTGGATCGCTTGCAAAGAATCCACGCTATACCTCCCCAAGACCTCCCAACGGCGAGCAGACATCACGCTGCGCCACCCCGACTCGGGACAGGTCTGGGTCTGCGATGTTACCATCACCGACCCCATCTCCTCCCGCGACCCTCGCGCGAGGAAAGGCACCGGTTGGGCTGCTGCCGAAGCCCAGGAGAAGAAACGCGACCTCTACGACGAGTCTCTCACCTTTGTCACCGTCCTCGGGGTGGCTAAAGAGACTTACGGGTGCTGCTCGGCCGACACGCTAGAGTTTCTCTCCCTCCTCGCAGGCCTGGCGGCTACCCGCAACCACAACGCGGACAGAAAGTCCACGCTCGCCCAGAAAATGGCAGCCTCATTCCGCCAGCAGTGGGCGGTCACCCTCCAGAGGCAACAGGCCATGACGCTGCACAGCAAGGTCAGCCTCTGCACAGAGAAAGCCTTTGCTGTTGGAGCCGACATGGAGACCCCTCTCACCTTTGGGGAGTTAGAAGCAGTGATTGAAGCCTAGACGAGGTCTCTTGAGCAGCGGTAGGCTGCTGCTGGGGACCACATGTGGCCTGACATCTATGAATTGTGCATGTACAACTTATAAAGGCTAATACCTAAGGACCGCTTGAGAGAGAGAGAGAGAGAGAGAGAGAGAGAGAGAGAGAGAGAGAGAGAGAGAGAGAGAGAGAGAGAGAGAGAGAGAGAGAGAGAGAGAGAGAGAGATAGAGAGAGAGAGAGAGAGAGAGAGAGAGAGAGAGAGAGAGAGAGAGAGAGAGAGAGAGAGAGAGAGAGAGAGAGGATCATTTAGGGTTATATTACAGTGCCACGACACCCTTAACTTATTACCGTACATCAGAGTTTTTGCTACTGCTTTCATCAGTAATGAGTAATGATTCATTACAAATTGCCTAGCAAACCAGTAATATTCCACATTGAAGTCACATTTGTGTGAATCTGCTGCTGCTATAATTAAAAGGCATCTATTAAAAGGCATATTATTATCTCGTAGCCTGAGAAAAGGAGTGAACACTAGAGTCGTAATATAGTTCGGAACTTACTGTTTTGGTGGTTGAGCAGTGCACACCTGCAAAATTGCAAGTGCTCCACACCATTCCGATCTGGACTGCTACCTGCACATTTTCCCAGAGATATCCTGAGGGTAAATTCCCGGCACGTGTCAGGGATTCCCTGAGTTGGGTCTTTTTTTGCGCTGTATTTTTTCCGACCAAGACCCTTCACTCGAGAGGATCCCTGATGTAGAAAGCATGAGAGAGACTGGAAAGACCTGGAAGGGACATAAATTTTGCATTTGGGCTGCCCTCTTGGTAGCTCCGATTTCGAGGGGGAGGATTTCTCCTTCCTCGAATGACCTCATTCCCTTCACTCCTTTGCGAGCCAACCAATGCTGTCATGAGCGAACCGCACGCGGTTCGACAATGTGCCCCATCTCAGAGGGCTTTCCTATCGATCGTTGATCTCAGCGGTTGATTTCGGTGGGAAGCTGACCTCGATTGGCTCTTCGTTCGCCTCTTGCGACTGCAAACGGTGAGGGAAAATGCGAATATTGACGAAAATGTGACGACAGTCAGCGACAAACTTCCTGGCAGAGATAGATGACTGTCGCAGCGCCAAGAAACTGCTGGAATGCTACGCCATTTGAAAAGGGCAGAATTTGCAGGAATTGCAGAGCTGCCTCACAAAAATTTGCGGGGATCTTTGTTGCACAAAGATTTTTGGGTTTACCCGCTTTACTTATTTCTGACGAAACGTTTCCTAGCTTATGACGGTTCTGCCCGACGAAACGTTCTGCACAGTTTGGTTACAGCACGCAAACTGGTTCGCCGGATCTCGGCTGACCGATCGCGCTTTTGGCGAAAAGAGCTGTGCGAAAGCACAACAGACCGAGTTGAATGGCTCAAAACTGGTTGGTTTCGATGGGCATAGTGAACCGAAATCAACTACCGAGATCAACAATCCATAGGAAAAGCCTCTCACCCCCCCAACCTCCTCCTAACCCCAATCTGCTCCCTCCCCTCCACCTGGATTCTCCCACCAAGTCCAGCCAGGCATTCCCATGCCACCATATTTCTCTCCCACAGCACAGCACAAACGCTAGACGCTGGAGGCAGGATCGGATTGGCACAAGCCAAGTCACCCTTGCCTCGTTTCGTTCCCCCTCAACTGTAGTGAATCATTGTGCGACTCCAGTCAGAATCGATGCTACAGCCTACAGCCTACAGCCCATCAACCGCCATCTAGTTGCTCGAGCCGGGTTCGCCTAAAACTGCAATCGAGCTTCGGCGAAGCAACAAGGTAGAAGTAGATGCCCAGTTGAGCAACCAGACGCGACTTGTAGTAGCCGCGCTGAGTCGGCCCGACACGATTAATCCATCCACACAACACGGATCGTCCAGCAGAATGTGTTATGAGTCATGACCGACAGAGAGCAGAGAAACTTCAGGTTGCTGAGATCGTGAAGTCCCCTTCGCAGATTCGCAGACAATCCCGCCCACCTCCATAACACCCGGCACATAGCACGACGATGGCGACGAGCCCGATGACGAGGAGCTCGATGCTCCGTGTGTCTCTCAACGCCCTCCTAGTTTTATCCCTCCTCGAGATCGCCGCAGTCCCACGACCAGGGGACGCAGCGCCCCAACCCACCAAGCGTGCCCCGCAGCCAGACTTGAAGCCCCCTATTGAGGTCTTAGGGACTTGCCAGAACTCAGGTACGGCTGTGCTTCCAGCAGTTGGTAAATTTGGGAGAATTCTCAAACGGCCCCCTTTTGAGGTCTTAGGGACTTACACAACTTAGGCAGAGCTGTGCTGCCAGCAGTCTAATACCATTTGGACCATACTGTCGACCGGGCAATGGCTTCTCCCTATCGTTTTTCTGCTTGTTCGCAGGTGCGATCAACACTACAATTTCGCCGAGCTTCATCGGGACCACGTGGCGAGGGTGGGGCACTTCGCTCGCATGGTTCGCGAATTACGTCGGCGGGTTACCACAACGGGAGCTGACGACGATACTCGACCTTCTCTTCGAGCCAGTCAACGGCCTTGGTCTCAACATCGTTCGTTACAACATAGGAGGGGGCAATAACAGGACCCTTAGCCCACAGTTCTATACGAACACTGAATCCGATTGGCGGGGGATGCCGGGTTTCAAGCCGACCAAAGCCGGGCCGTACGATTGGAGCGCGGACGAACGGCAGCGGAACGTGCTGCAGGGAGCGAAGGAGAGAGGCGCGAATGTGTTCGAGGCGTTTTCCAACAGCCCGCCTTGGTGGATGACGTATTCTGGCGACGTGGCGGGCGCGCTTAAGAGAAGACGAACGAACTTGCGACGCGAGTACGAGGGCGCTTTCGCAGACTACCTGACGACCGTCGTGGCTCAATTCGCGAAACGGTGGGGGGTAACGTTTGATTCGCTGGAGCCTTTTAACGAAGCGCTGGAGCGGTTTTGGGGGGCGGGAGCGGACCACGAGGGGTGTACGTTCAATCCACCTGAAATGGGGCGTGTAATCAAGCACATGTCAGACTCGCTAAAAGCAAAGGGACTTAAGACGAAGCTGGTTGGTGTGGATAGCTGGTACGGAGAGACGTCATGGCTGCCGGCTATGGCCAATCACGAGCTACTAACGCGGATAAACGTTCACTCGTACGTGAATAAGTACGACAATGGGAACGCAGCTGCATCTTACGAGGAGAAATTTGGTACCATTCGTGACACGGGGAAGCAGCTCGGGAGGGAGGTGTGGGTCAGTGAAGCGGGGCCGTTAAGTAAACGTGGCAGCTTCTGGGATCTTTCGCTGTACGTGGCGAGAAACGTGATCGAGAGCATCAACATCATGGAGGCCTCCGCGTACGTGATCTGGCAAGCGTACGATTTCGGGTCGCACTGGTCTTTCATCCGCTTCCCGTCGTACTATCGCCCGCCGTACGATTTCAAGCTGATACAGCCGAAGGTGAACAGGAGGTTCTGGCTTTTCAAGCATTTCACGCTGCTTGCCAAGCCTGGGTCCAAGCCGATTAAAATAGGTTCGAGCTGCATTCACGGCATGAGTGCGTTCTATAACCCCCGAGAAGCCCAACTGACGGTGTTCATAGTGAATCAGCAGGCTGAGGATCGACGAGTGACTCTTAATCTCGAGGGGTTTAAGACTAACTTGGGAGGCAGGACGACCGTGGTTTTTAGGAGGACGTCTGCGTTCACGAATTTCAGCAAGAGGGTGTATGCGCGATTCAGAGGGAGAGCGAGCTTCAAGATGTGGGGGCAGACCTTCGTTTCTGTCACCTTCACTAATGTGTCGATCTAGCGGAGGTTCTCCTACCCATAGCATCTACATTGGCTGTCTACCAAGAGGTTCCGCTGAGGGTGCTCCCCATAGAAACTGCCTTGAGGATGTCTCATTTAGGCTTAATTTTCGGTTTGCTCACTGGTTTGGCTACTTTTATTCGGCCTATTTCTTTGTTACGTAATATGAATGCTGTATCTTTAAACACGACACATAATTTTTGTTGTTGCCTGCAGATAACATAAGTACCTGTAAACGCGAATAGCGGGACAGGCGTTGTGCGGACCGCCAACACCACGCTTTGAGGGTCTTCGCCCATAAAAATTCCGATATGCCTTCATGCTGTGAAGTTTGCTTGTGACAAATTCTTTGTCGGGCACGACTCCAGATTTCGGGATTGGGTTGGTTGGCACATGCTACAATAATTCTACGGCACCACGACCTGCTTGCCGAAATACGTCTCCCGAATTGTATTTGGCTGCCCGTCACTGGTTGCATATTGGTCAAACAGAAAATTTGCAGGGAGTGGAAAAATGAATCTCCCGTTACAGTCATCGCAATATCGAAGGGTACGAGCTGCACGCGGTTCGACAATGTCGATGAATTTTGCCCGAATTTCTCACCCTCACCTCCCTCCTGCAAATCCATCCACCCAAACCCACCCACTGTCTGCCCATCAGATCACCCAAGCACACACGCACACGTCAAACCAAACCAAAACCCTTGGCACAAGCACCCTTGCTTGGTCCCACCTCGCTTCTGAAAATGCGACTCCTGGTCAACAGTCCAACACGCGCCATTTGCTCGAGGCGGGTTCTCCTGAACTCCTCCTCACCTCACCAATAAGGCGACACGATCGATGCTTCTGCCCAGCACACGCCAGGTGCTCGAGCGAGACGGGTTCTTCAAGCCACAACCGAATGGTCTTCGAGGGAAAGAGCTAGAGCAACAAACTCGAAGACTCCTCTCATGTACAAATAATGACGTGAAGTCCTTTTTGCGAGCACTCACGAGTTCCGTGGTACCCAGCTGTTAGCACGATGGCGAGGAGGGCGTTTCTCTACGTGTCTCTCCAAGTCCTAGTTCTAGCCCTCGGGATTGCCGGGCATGCACGAGCAGTGGCAGCAGCCAGCAGGCGTCCCCCACCTCCTGACTTGTGGCCCACCTTTGAGGTCTTAGGAACATGTAACCACTCAGGTACTACCTGTAGTCTCGTGCAGAACGTGCCTATAATATCGCCAAACAATGAAAGATGTGTTACAATTCTATTGAACGTGCATTATCAGCATAATGTTCGTCGCCAAACAACGGCGACATTCCTCTCCGTGACTAGCATCCGGACCCTAATGTGTCTTCGTTGATGCGTGTTCGCAGGTGGAATCAGCACCACAATATCGCCGAACTTCGTCGGCACCACGTGGCGAGGGTGGGGCACTTCGCTCGCGTGGTTCGCGAACTACGTCGGCGGCTTGCCACAACAGGAGCTGACGACGTTTCTCGACCTTCTCTTCGAGCCGAAAAACGGGCTTGGTCTCAACATCGTGCGTTACAACATCGGAGGGGGGCACAACAAGGCTCTTAGCCCGCAGTTTTACAAGAAGCAGGAATCAGATTGGCGGGGAATGCCGGGTTTCAAGCCGACGAAGAACGGGCCGTACGATTGGAGCGCGGACGAACGGCAGCGGAACGTGCTGCAGGGAGCGAAGGAGAGAGGCGCGAATGTGTTCGAGGCGTTTTCCAACAGCCCGCCCTGGTGGATGACTGTATCGGGTGACGTGGCGGGCGGGCGCCACAAAAGGGAAACAAATCTGCGAACCGAGTACGAGGGCGCTTTCGCGGACTATCTGACGACCGTCGTGGCTGAGTTCGCGACAAGGTGGGGGGTAACATTCGATTCGTTAGAGCCGTTTAACGAAGCGCTAGAGGGGTTTTGGCTGGCGGGGACGGACCACGAAGGCTGCTCGTTCAATCCACCCGAAATGGGCCGTGTTATCAAGTACACTTCAGACTCGTTAAAGGCTAAGGGGCTAAAAACGAAACTGGTTGGCGTGGATAGTTGGTACGGAGACACGGCATCAATGCCTGGCATAGCCAATCATGAGCTACTAACGCGGATAAACGTCCACTCGTACGTGAATAGGTACGACAACGGGAACGCAGCTGCATCTTACGAGCAGAAATTCGGCTACATCCGCGACACGGCGAAGCTGCTCGGAAAGGAGGTCTGGGTAAGCGAAGCAGGGCCGATCAGCAAAGCTGGCAGCTTCTGGGATCTTTCGCTGTATGTGGCTCGAAACGTTATCGAGAGCGTTAACATCATGGAGGCTTCGGCGTACGTGATCTGGCAAGCGTACGATCTGGGCGCGCACTGGTCTTTCATCCGCTTCCCGTCGTACTATCGTCCGCCGTACGACGGCAGAATGAAACAGCCCAAGTCGAACAAGAGGTTCTGGCTGTTCAAGCATTTCACTATGTTAGCCAAACCTGGGTCCAAGCCGATCAGAGTCGGCGCCCGCTGCTTTCACGGCATGAGTGCGTTCTACAACCCCGGCGACGCGCAAATCACGGTGTTCATAGTGAATCAGCAGGCTGACGACCGACGAGTGACTCTTAATCTCGAGGGGTTTAAGACTAACGTGGGAGGAAGCACCACAGTGGTTGTAAGGAGGACGTCTGCATTTACGAATTTCAGCAAGAGGGTCTACACGCGCTTCAAGGGGGGAGCGAGGCTCACGGTGTGGGGACAGACCTTCGTTTCTGTCACCTTCACTAACGTGTCGACCTAGAGGCTGGTCCTGCATTTGAGGCCCCCCTCACTAAGGTGTCCATAGCAGCTTGGGTGCCTACGCTGCCTAGCTGTCTTCTTGGTTTTCAGCTTCGACCAAGGGTTTGCCATTAGGAACTGCCTACAGACTGTCTTCTGAAAGTTGGCTTATCAAAGTACGGTGATGAGAATTTTCGTATGGAAATTTTGGGTTATCATTCCGAGTAGTAGTATGGAATTGGAAGTTTTAGTAGAATTGTGAAACATGGAAATGGACAGGTGATGGCAGCATGAGCGTATGTAGGCTTGGCTGCAAAAGACATCGATGGTTGTAAAAATGATTATGACTTATAATTTATCATATGAATTTTGCAAAGAGGTGCTGAAATACTATGCCCTTTATCAATGTCTGAACTGGCATCCGTCTATCGAACTTTACCACGCAATCCCCGCTTCATTTGCAATCACCACCAGCCCTTGCTCTCTTCCGCATACAAGGGAGCCTTGCTCATCACAACCGCTCGTTACAAGATTCCCAACGCTGAATCGCACAGGCGCACGCGGTTCGGCTTGAAAAGACGGGACACATGCGCCCATTCGAAATTGGCCTTGCCCCTAGCACCACCCAATTTCGCCCCATTTTCAAGGGACTGTCCTTTCACGCCCTCCCCCTCCATCCTCTCCTCCCACTACTCCGCTACCCCTTCCTCCCACACTCACCCCCTAGGCACCAGCTTTCTTCCCCTTGCACAATTTCTATTCGCTCATTACCCCTGGTCGGTGCGTCATCTATCGATTCGGTATGGATACACGGATGCACACACACCGACCACCACGCCAGCTGGTCGCATACGCTTCGCCGTGCGACTCCGTCGCATTGCTAGTTCCTCGCTCGCAATCCACAAATTTCGTCGCATGACCGTGCGGCCTGCTCGCGTACTACCGTCTTGAGTCTTCACGCTACTGTTTGGCTTGACGTAAGTTCTTATAACATCAGAACACGCGACCAGTCCGTCGTTACAGTGCAGCTAATGCCCGATCAAATGAGAACGAGGCGCCGCTGGTCTCTCTTGACTTGACAGCGGCCAGCCGGGCAGTCCTCGTCGAATCGAAACTCCTCTTGACCTCAGCATCTAGTAGACGATATCATGTCATGCTTCATCGAAGATCGTTCAGCAGCAACCGACTAAAGCCACCACGCCAGGAGCTCTCTCCCTCGTCGTGATTTCGAAACTATTCTCTAGTACGCACCGCCATGAGATATATCCGTTAGGCCCGCAATACCCACTGCCGGGATCCCACACTAGTCTAGCACGATGACGAGGTGGTCGCTCCGAGTGTCTCTCAATGCCCTCCTGATTCTAGCTCTTCTGGAAATTGCCGCGTACGCGGCAGCAGTGACGGCTAAGAAAGCAGGCCGGCGCCCGCCGCCTCCTAATCTGAAGCCGTCGTCCGAGATCCTACCCATGTGCAGATTTTCTGGTGAGACATGACGCGATGTAACTCTCAATTCACACGCATATTGTTGTGTTCAATACACTGCCTTGCAATGTGTAATATGAAGTAATTTTATCACAGGAAGCTTTTGGGTCACTTAGTCCGGTCATTCGCATGAAGCTTGTCAAATGCGATCTGTTTTGTCGATTCTCCGTTGGCAGGTGCGGTCAATCTGACGGTTTCGAAGAAGTTCGTCGGGACCACTTGGCGAGGGTGGGGCACTTCGCTCGCTTGGTTTGCGAATTACGTTGGCGGCTTGCCACAGAAGAATATGAATGAAATGCTCGACCTCCTTTTCGCGAAAGACGGCCTGAATTTCAATATTGTTCGCTACAACATAGGAGGCGGGAACAACAAGAAACGGAGCCCGCAGTTCTATAAGCAGAAGCACACAGATTGGCGGGGAATGCCGGGTTTCAAGCCGACTGAGGAGGGGCCGTACGATTGGAGCGCGGACCAACGGCAGCGGAACGTGCTGCTGGGAGCGAAGGAGAGAGGCGCAAATGTGTTCGAGGCGTTTTCCAACAGCCCGCCCTGGTGGATGACCAAATCTGGTGACGTGGCTGGCCCGCCGCTAATAGGCCAATCCAATCTCAAGCAAGAGTACGAGAGCGCTTTCGCAGACTACCTGACGGCCGTCGTGGGACAATTCGCGAAAAAGTGGGGCGTTACTTTTGATTCGCTGGAGCCGTTTAACGAAGCGTTGGAGGGGTTTTGGCAGCAGGGAAATGAAAACGAGGGGTGCTCGTTTGACGCGCCAGCAATGGGCCGCATCATCAAGTACACTTCAGACTCGTTAAAGAAGAAGGGGCTTAAAACGAAGCTGGTAGGGGCCGACAGCTGGTCTTCCTCGACTGCGAAGCTGGCTCAGGTGGCCAACCATCAGCTACTATCGCGGATAAATGTTCACTCATACATGAACGACTATGGCGGCAGCGACGTCGCGAATACCTACGAAGCCCAATTCGGGAGCGTTCGCGAAACGGCGAAGCAGCTCGGGAAAGACGTCTGGGTCAGCGAAGCAGGACCGCTCGGAAAAAGCGGCAACGACTGGGACGTTTCACTGTACATGGCGCGAAACGTTATCGAGACCGTCAATATCATGGAGGCATCGGCGTACGTGTATTGGCAAGCGTACGATCTAAGCACCGGCTGGACACTGATAGACTTCCCCCCGAATTACAAGGCCGGATCCAATGGCGCCATGAAAACACCGAAGCCCAACCAGAGGTTTTGGATCTTCAAGCATTTCGCCATGCTTGCCGAACCTGGATCCAAGCCGCTCAAGGTAGGTTCGGACTGCTCGCACGGCATGAGCGCGTTCTACAGCCCGGGCGAAAATCGGGTTACCGTCTTCCTGTTGAATCAGCAGGCTAAGGAGCGGCGAGTGACGATTAATCTCCAAGGGTTCAGAAGAAATGTGGGTGGAAGCACGCGAGTGGTCGTGAGGAGAACGTCTCATGTGACGAATCTAGGAAAGAAGGTCTTCACACGTTTTGGCGGGAAAGCTGCAGTGACAGTTTGGGGACAATCCTTCGTTTCGGTCACGTTCACCAACCTGTCCGACTAGGGGCTAAAGAATGGCTACACTTGCTAAATAGTGAATAGGTTGCTTCACTAGTTGCACTTCCCTACTTACCATGTGATGTGTTAGCTTCAATGCTTGATTTGATTTAAAAACTCCTATGGCTGTAATACGCTCGGATTTTCCCCTGATTTAACATTTTTAATAGATGCGCGAAGAAGAGTACAATATTCGGAGTAATATTAGGTTGATCTTCCCAAGTTTCCTCGATGAAGCGATGTACTAGGTTGTTCTAGGATTGAACAAGAGTATGTCAATTTATACATACGGTTATATGTAGAGGTTATAGGCTAGATAGATTTATATTCTTAGTGAGTACAACTCCAACCCTGTATCTCCCCTGTACTCTCTTGTTCTAGTCATTCTCATATTCTAACATGGTATCATAGTAGGTTAGGTCCGCCCACTCGCTTCCGCCCATCACCCTAGCATACCGCCCCGCCGTACCCTAGCCTTACCACGCCCCGCCAGCCCCTAGCACCCCGCCGGCCCCTCGCTCACCCCGCCGGCCCCTAGCGCGCCTGCCGGCCCCTAGCGTACCCGCCGGCCCCTCGCGCACCTCGCCGGCCCCTAGTGTGCCCGCCGCCCCTTAAGAGCTGCGCCGGCCCCTCGCGCCTAGCCGGCCCCTCGTGTACCTGTCGGCCCTTCGCTTACCCCGCCGCCCCTCGCGCCTAGCCGGCCCCTTGCGCCTAGCCGGCCCCTCGTGCCTAGCCGGCCCCTCGCGCCCAGCTGGCCCCTCGTGCCTCGCCGGCCCCCCTCGCGCCTAGCCGGCCCCTCGTGCCTAGCCAGCTCCTCGTGTACTCGCCAGCCCCTCGCGAACCCTGCCGGCCACTTGCGCTCCCGCCTGGCCCCTCGCGCGCCTCATCGGCCCTTCGCCGCCAGCCCCTCGCGCGCCCGCCGGCTCCTCGCGTACCTCGCCGACCCCTCTTGTGCCCGCCGGTCCTTCGCGCCTCGCTGGCCCTTAGCGCCCCGCCGGCTCGAGCGCCCATTGGCCCTCGCGCGCCACCTGGCCCCAGCGCTCCGCCGGCCCTTTGCGCCCTGCCGGCTCTGCGCACCTTGGGCCCTGCGCACCTCGGGCCCTCCTTAGCCCCCCGCCCGGTCTTCTCGCTGGAGAGTCCTGCCGCCACACCACTGTGCCGCCGTGCCGCTAAGTACCTGTGCCCATGTGCCGCCGTGTCCCCGAGCCGCTGTGCCGCCGTGATGCTGTGCCGCTGTGGACCTGTGCCGCTGAGATTGCATGATGGCGGACGCCGTACTTCGCCTGGACGCGGAGGGGCACGCGATCGATTTCGCCGCCTAAATTGTTGACCTTAGTCGGCACCTGACAGGTCAGCGCCAGGATGGGCACTCCCTGGCTATGCATGTTGATGGCTTGCTACCCCGCCCCCCGCATCTGATCCCCTCCCTGCTGACTCCACCACTGCTGAGAGTGAGGCCTTTTCTGCTGCTGCGCTCGCTTGCGCTGTCTGGGATTCTCGCGATGCTGTAACGCAGCTCGCCATTAGTCATGCGCTTCCCCTGTCTGAGCGTCCGCGCTTCACTGCTTTCGCGAACGCCAAGGACTTCCTAGATGCAGTAGTTGTGCGCTACTCCACACCTACCTTTGCTTCCGCTGGCCGCTTGATCCTCCCCATGCGATTCCCCCATCTTTCCACTTTCCCTACTATCGCTGACCTCGCCACTCACCTCTGTGCACTAGAGACTAGCTACCGCACTGTTAGCACTGCCGCCCAGCTCACTGCCCTCCCCCACCGTTCTGCGCTACCCTATACCTTATTGCCATGCGCTTGCCAGACCGCTTAGCTGCTGCCCGCAACCACTTCCTTAGCCAGCACCCTGGTGACCTAAACCTGACCGCCTTTGTCACTGCCCTGTCTGAGATAGAGAATCGCCAGCGCACTATCCCTCAGTCACAGGGTGTTGTGGCAGTCCCTATCTTTCAAGGCTGTTCTCCCTCCGAGTGCACGTATGCTTACGTTTCCGCCGCGGTCGCTACTGCTGCCCGTGCCACTGAGACTGCAGGTGCGACCTTCCCGCAGCAGCGACAGCGTCAGGGCCGCCGCGGCCCCAAGGGAGGGCGTGGTGGTGGCGCTAGTGGTGGTGGTGGAGGTGGTGGCGGGGACAGTGAATCTGACGAGGGGGTTGGGGCTGGTGTCCAGGAGCAGCAGTAGCCGCAGTAGATACAGCAGCAGCAGCAACCGTGGGCCGGCCTCTCTCCGGGGTGGCCAGGAGCCCCAGGATGTGGCGGCCGTGGTGGCGGCACTCGCAGCTTGGCGTCTACCAGTGGCTTCTGTGCTGTGAGCTGCCAGTTCCAGCTCCAGACCGGGCTCCTCCGTGGCACTGTGTGCCGTCGCCCACACCCGACCGCCCACTGCTTCCGCCGCCTCAACGACCTCTTCCGTCGCCGCTTCGGACCGGCCCCGGACCTCCCTGATTGGCCCATTCTGCTGCGCCACGGTGTGCCTGTTTTTGACTCAGACATGGATCAGATTAGTTCCGCCCTGCATTCTCTGTATGCTGACGCTTCTAGTGTGTCCGGATTTTATTACCCTATCTTCTCTAGCTGAAGCGTAGCACCTGTGTGTAGTACAGACTCCCTTGCTGCGTCAGGCGTATGACCGGTTGCTTTGTCTAGCTGAGGCTCTACACTCGCCCCTTCGTCGTTTGCCGCTACTGCTTTGCTGTCCTTCACTCTTGACTTTGGTGCGTCGGCCAGCTTCTTTCGCGACCGCGCCACACTCACGCCGCCTGCTGCGCATGTCGCACTTGCTGACCCCTCTGCTGGTCCTGTCATTGCTCGCAGCTACACCACCCTTCCCTGTCCAGCGGTTCCCTCAGGTTCCCTTACAGGAGTGCACATCCCTTCGTTCTCCAGGAACTTAGTTGGTGTCGGCTGTCTTCAGAACCTCAGCGTCACCACTATGTTCCCTGGTCAAGAGCGGTACGCTGTCTGTACCGAGGCCGCCTCAGGTTCACCTGTTGCGACGTTCCCCCGGGACCCGTTGTCGGACTTATTTACACTGGACACTGCTTCCCACCCGGTTGGGGCACCCTCCCTATGCCCTGCGTCTACCCATGTCGCGGCTGCTTACTCGTGTTGGTCGCTCATTCACCCGTTTCTCCTGTGGCACCACCGCCTAGGTCACCCCGCACTCCAGCGTCTACGTCACATGTCCCAGCACGGTCTCGTCCTAAGTCTTCGTGCGTCATTTTCTGCCCTCCCTGCGCTGCCATGCGCGCCCTGCGTTGAGGGCCGGCTGCGCCGTGCTCCTCACTCCTCCTTGCTTCGCCCTGCAACCGCATCCCTCCAGACCCTGCACCTGGACCTCGTCACGAGCGCTACTTTCTCATGCTCGTCGACAACTACACGCGCTACACCACGGTGTTTCCTCTGGAGCGGAAGGCCAACGTGCCTGGCGTTCTTATCCCGTGGGTCGTAGCTGTGCGCCTCCACCGCGGTCTCACTCTGCTGTGTCTCCACTCCGACTAGGGCGGCGAGTTTGCCTCTGGTCGGCTTGGACAGTTCTATAGTACGGAGGGCATCACCCAGTCGTACACCTTACCGGACTCCCCGCTGCAAAATGGGGTCGCTGAGCGATGCATCGGTTTGGTCATGGAGGTGGCTCGTACCTCCATGATGCATGCCGGTGCACCCCATTTTTTGTGGTCATTCACCGTTCGCTATGCCGCTCACCAGCTTAACCTCTGGCCGCGCTCCCAGCGGCCGCAGGTTTCCCCGACCCTTCTTTGGACCGGGTTCCCTGGTGACGCGTCCGCATTCCATGTCTGGGGCTGCCTTGCTCACGTTCGTGCCTCTGGCACGAAAAAGCTCACTGCCCACACAGTCCCCTATGTCTTCCTCGGTTTCCCCCTTGACTCGTATGACAGGCACTTTTACCACTCGCCGTCTCACCGCTTCTTTCACTCCCGTAATGCTACTTTCGACGAGGATGTCTCCTTTTACCAACACTTTCCCCACCGAGGTCTCCCGTTTTCCCCTCCCCTGTTTCTGGTTCCCACTCCCCCGATAGCCCCTGCTCACCTCCCTCCCCGTCCTGCTCCGTCTGGTGTGTCTCACGTCACTCCCCTCCCGTTTGTTGTCCCGGTCAAGGAGTTGGTGGACTCCGGTGGCCCTGCGGCGCCGTTCTCTGCCTTCCTCTCCCCCAGTGTCTTCTCATGCGCCGTCGCAATTGCCGCAGCAGCAGCCGTCATTGCAGCCGCAGCAGCAGCAGCCGCTGCCGCCGCAGCAGCAGCAGCCGTTCGTGGACTGTGGGGGTGCTGGCGTTGAGGAGGGTGCTAGTCCTAGGGTTCCTTTCGTGGCTTGTCCCGGCGGGCCTGGGGATGGCACTGGTGCTAGAGAGAGTTCTCGCTCTGGGGGTGCTCGTTCTAGGGGTGATGGATTGGAGTGTTCCAGAGGTAGCCGTGGTGCCGCTGGCGGTCCAGGTGTCGGCGTCGAGCAGCAGAAGCAGCAGTCGCCGCCGGTGTCCGCCCTTCGCCTGCTCGGCCTTCCCTCCCGTGACCACTTGCTTGCGCCTCCCCTGCCGCCGCCTCCCCTGCCTGTCTACGGCCCTGTGTTTCCTCCGCCGGACTCGTCTCCGGCTCGTTTCCCCCCTCATTCCCCCCCTGTATCTCCTCCTGTGTCTCCTGATCTGACACCTCCGTCACACGTCTGGTCTCGCCGTCCCTCCCGTGCTCGTCCTGTCTCTCTTGCTCAGCATTCTCACCCTATTTTGCTTTGTTCCCATACGTCTCGTCCTCCTCTCCTGCCTTCACCTCCTCCGTCGTCGCTTGTTGTCGCGCCTCCCCCTCTATCTGACTACCTTCGTTCCGCTTGTCCTGTAGATTCTCAGGTCCTTGCCTCCCTCGTTACCGACCCGTCTGTTCCTGTCTTGAGTCATGCCTCCGTTGGAGGTGCGTCTGCCCTTGGCAGTGATGTCCTCAAGGACAGGCAATACGAGCTTGCTTTCCTGTCCGAGGCTGCTCCCCATTTCTGTTCTATGCTGCTAGTCCCTAAGGGTGACCCAGACGCCTTTAACATCCCGACCCCTCGCACTTACGCTGAGGCGACCTCGGAACCGTGGGCCTCTCAGTGGATAGTTGCCATGGAGCAGGA